CTGAATGTTTTGCTGTTGGAAGTTATGTCAAATTTTCCGGAGCAGGAAAGTTTTTTTGCTAGTAACAAAGATATATATACATGCACGTAAATGAAAATAATTTATGCACGTAGGCTTCTTCACAAATCATCATAATACGTCAATTTCCTAAGGTCACCTTTTTTTTGATACACTCTATAGTGTTAGTAAAACATATGAAATAATGAAGAAATATTGCACAATGCATCATTCATTACCATACGCTATCATGGTTCAGTTCATCAACATCTTCACCTTCTTCATTGATAAACTTATCTATGGTCATAGTGTTATCTGTATCATGAGCACTGTCGTAGTTGGTTACACTTCGAGCTGGGATTCCTATTGCTCTGAGGACCGTTGTCAGGACACCAGAAAACACCCAACATTGACCATATCTTACAGGTTTTTTTGTGCGATAATATTCCTGAAGAATATTTACACTGCCATTCCAAAATGTCGGCGATCTGCCATTTTCATAGTTGCCTGTCCAATTTCCCATTAATACACCATTGTCATCTTGCGAGTTGATCTATGTTGTAATAAAGCCGAACAAAAAATAATTGTATTATGTTTTCGTATGACTGAAAGCAGACATTTTTCTATGTCTAGAGATGATTCTTTGCGTACGTCTTTTTTGCAGTCATTCATTATCATATCTTACATAATCATAAAGCCAAACTCTTTAATAAGACAAATTTTTGTTATTTCTCGGGAAAGGCACTAACGTCAAAGGATGTTGTTTATCATTAATGTTCGTTTGCTTACCATAGCTGAAAGAATCCTAGAAACCCATACTGCATCGCTTCTCATAATCAAGGATTTTGAAGGCTTCCTCCTGATTCGGCGATCGTTTTCCAGTAGGTAAAAAACGCATTCAAGAATATCTTTTTCAAACTAAAAGAAAATAGTTTTCGGTTCAAAGAAAGTTGATTGTAAAAAATGATGCTCTGATACCAAAGCTACCTGGCCAAAATTCCATCGAACTGGATTGGGACCTCGATAATTTGACCATCCGGCATAAAGTAGACCGTCGTCATTCAAGACGTATTCTTGTTTCTTATCGTTACTGTCGTCATCAGGAAGATATACCTCGTCATCTGTGCGGACGTGTGAAAGACATTACTCATAATTATCTCTGCATTAAAATGTGCTACACAACACAGGGCCAAAACTTGAGGGAGGGTCGATTATTTACGTATTCAGCTCTGCTGACCAACTGATTTATTTTGAAAATACTGAAACAATTGGTTGATTTGGAAATGTTATACATTACCTTGGTGCCAAGCGTTAAACAAAACAACTATCTCTTCATTACTTCCCAAGGGACGACTTGAACTGTTAGGAAGAACTACTTCCACTTTGTACCTGAAAAAATATTCATAATGAGATTAATTATTGAGGTAAATTATACTTGCGATCTCAAGCAAGGAATCAACCTGCTACTCTATGAATTTTGCAAAGGACTAATAACGGTTCGCTTTTCAATCAAAATTTACCATACGGTAGCACTGGCGTATAGCCAGCTCGATAAATGGGAGCAAATATTTATATATGCATGCTGTAATCCACCGCATAACCGTATTTAAGGCATACATGCATTTCAGATAATGATTTCAGATGGCTACCCCACTAAATACGAGTGTGTTGTTGATATGTTGATTACAATCACTCTACTTGAAGTTTGCATACAGGTTTTTTATATTAGTCTAAAGATATTTTTCATCGATCTTCATCAAATACGGAGTTGTTTTGAAACCTAGTAATTATGAAATGCTGACAAACCTTCCGACGGCAGCATTAACCGGGATTTTCACTTCAAATTTTTGCTCATTTTCATTTGATTCAATGACTTTATTTTCCCATATACGAGGCTGAATGAATCTGTCATTTGCTAAAGTGATAAATAAAGTACAAACGATTCATTTAAATGCTCAAAAAAGACATGAAGAGAAAAAGATGATCGTCTGTTTGATATTAATCTTTAAACACCTAAAACGTTATTTGCATAGCACCATATTTTCTTACCTCCAATGCTGAAACGCAATCCAGCGTCTTTAATTTCACTTTGGCTAAAATTCTCAAAAACTGCACTCAGCTGAAATGTAAAACCACGTCTAAGAACCAGATTTTGCTCATCGTATTCTTCCGTATGGTGAAGACTGGAATTCTCCTGTTTGTGATAGTTGAACGAAACGGAGCCTTCTTTTGACGAAGCTGTAGAATGCATTATTCTTGTGTTAATTATTGTTCTTTTTAGATTATACCTTAGCGCTGGAGGAGGGAGTCAATTTTAACAACTTTAGAGCTCGGTAAAAATTTTTAACGTGAGAAATTAGCATCCGGTGGTCCCATATGACGTTTGTCATGTTCCTGTTGTTCAACGCTCTGAGGTCAATGCATTTTCCTGAAAACAAACCTTACGTAAAAGGATTAAAACGATACTGTCTCGGAAGTGATAAACATGATACTTGACACGTAGTAGTGACAAATTGCATAAAATATTCAAAAGTTCTTTATTTCATGCTGACGAACTCTTGGCAATTCCTATAGAAGGAATGCTGATAAATTTTTTTAAACAGACTGGATATGACGAGTTAAACAAAACGATGCCTGTGTAAATGTACTCTAAACGTGGAAGTTTTATGTATATTTTTTGACACACGTTAAATTAAAAATCCTCTCCACTTTGGAATTTGAAACTTTTCACGTGCTTTGGAGTATGTGGGTAAAAGAAGTAAGATTCCTCATTGCTTGACGAACAACATGACGTCAGCGGATAAGCTTGAACGCCAGAAAATGTCTATAGACCATTTTGTTGTAATTCTAGCTCGTTTGTAATCTACTCGCATCTACTAATTTACAAAATGCGTTACCTGAGTTAGATTTGGACTTTTTTCTGCCACAGATAGCAAAAAATGACATTGTTGTATGTTTATAACAAGCGTGCTGCTGTATGTACCTGTCTCGATGACTTTCTTCTTTGACAGAGCGCTTATGTCTTCTCTTGTTGTCGATGTCGATGTTCGCTTACGCGATGTCATTTTCAGTAACAATACTAATCCCAATATTTCATACAATACAATATTAAAAATGGTCAATACTATAACGGTAGTGAGTGAGTTGGTGTGCAAGCTACATAATTGCCGCCATGTTGGATGATTTTATCAAAAGGATTTACAATTCAAGTGTCATCCAATCGAACAAACGACCAACATGTCGAACATTCCATTGTTCTCTCACTCCCAGGGAAATGGTTGCGCACCACCTATATTTGTCAAGACTATCAGTTGTTACCTGTTATATGAAAAGTATATCAGAATCCCATGACTCCCATGTTATGTTTTCTTAACATTTCTAAGAAAGAACAGGAAAATTTCTAAGAAAGAACTCGAAAATTTGCAAGAAAGAACATAAAAACACTGACAGTGTTCTATTCCCAAGTTCATTCAGGAAAAGAGGGGGGGGGGGACATCTTGAAAAAAAATGGAAAAAAGAAGGCAAAGAAAAATTGTAATATGTATCCAAGGCATAGGAAGATATAGAAAAGCCCAAAATTTGATTGTGTCCAGGCCCTGTCTATTATTCTTAATTGAAAAGCATTCTGTTTCCAGACTTTCAAAAAATTAATTTATTGACTGGAAAGTGGAAAGGAATATTTATCTGATATTTTGCATCGCTTAATGGAATTTCCGAAATATTTTTTGACAAAAATCTTTTGTTCCAAGTACTCGTGTTTGTATTGAACGTTTTAGGCGATTTTGTAGTTTTCCTGTTCTTTAGAAATCGATTATAAAAGATTGCTTGTTTTATTGTTTTACGTGTGTGATAATCATGAGTCATGAGTGGCCAATAAGGAAATAATACCACGGACGTGTATGACGTTAAATAAATGTTATAGTGTGATTATGTGAACATAATCACACTATATGACATACAATTAGATAAATTTATATATATATATATGTAAATTATAAAGACCAATTTACTGTTTTCAAATTATATAGAATATTTTATTATAAAAGCTCGCCCCGGCAGCTCGTGGCCACTTTTTTAGTTTTTATCACAAATAACGTCGTACCCGTGTATCTATAACTGCATAGACAACAGTTAAATGTTATCAATTTGTTAGACAATAAGGTTAGTGGAATTGAACTGTAAGTGGGATAGGGATTATAACAGGATTTTAAAGTTCTCCAATTCAGTAACATCTTGTAAACTCAATATATGAGCTTTTATAAAATTAATATCTTTACAAGATGTTACAGTATATGAGCTTGTAATGAAATTCATTATACTCTATATTTTGAAATAAAAGATAGGTTGAGTCGCCAAGATGCTATTTTTACCTTTTGGAGCACGTTCCTTTCTCAAGTTTTTTTTTATGATATTAAATCATTTCAATGAAATGGTTGTCTGCTGGTAAACGTTTTTCGACAAATAGATTAGCTACAATAACGAGCACATGTGTATTGCAAAATCTACTGATGGCTATTCAACCATAAAATATTTATGTTCGGAAATCATATTTTTGAGCAATTTGCTTAACGATGTGCGATGTAGTATGTTTACGAGAGATTTAGCACACTTTTAATAGATGATGTTCTTGAGCACAAAATATGGCATTCTGGACTTAGTCGTATTGTTACCTTGCTCAATCGGAATTAACAATTTAACATTCAATTCTTTGTCATCCTAAGCAGATCGTCCCACCTTAGCAAACAAAAACAATGCTCCTCAACTTAATTAGCTTTCCCACTTTCTATTGTGTGTTCTCGCCTTCGACTTTGTTGCATATCTTTGTTGAATAAGTGTTTTTGAGCCCACACATTGTATAATTCCTTTGACATACCTGTTTTGCTGACGTATGTATACACTCAACTAACGTCAGAGCTATCGTCATTCGGACTCATTCCAATAATGTTTTTGGCTCTTGTTTAAATGTTTTTTACAATATTTTGACCGACCACTGACAACTTCGCTAAAAGAAAACGTCTCAATTGTAATACAAAACAAAGTTAAAATCTTCACAATTACGAAAAATGATAAGGGTTTGACTATGATAATGAAATTGAGCTATGAATTTTACATCGAAAGCATATTCTTTAAATTAGGCAGACTCATCAACACTTGAAGCAAATTTGAGACAATTGTTACGATAATTTTTAAGCTTTACATCGCTTGGCATAACCAATTCCAAAAATAGATGATACTCCAAGAAAAGTTAAAATTGTAAGAAACGCTGGAACAGAAGGTAACCACAACTGTAGAGTAGTAAGACCGCAATAAACTGGGGGTATATCTTTTGAAGGCGGCTCAGTGTGAAAGATCTCATCTTGGCAAATTTTATTCATAGAATGAAGTACTTGACGAGCTGCTCTTTCACCGGCTTCAACAGCCCCGTCCATATATCCTGTATAAAATAATGAAATGAAAAATTAAAATCTTTTAGCAGTTTCAACAGTAAATTTAGGAGAAAAAAGGCGTTTGACTGAAATTATTCATATTTCTTTGCATGTAATTCAAACTATCGAGACTACATGTTACGTGTAAAACAGGTATTTTTTTTGATAGGCTACTTAAAAACTTGGAATTGTTTATGAAGGCGAATACCTGCCCATTTTGTCGCAGTTTCAGTGCCAGCAAAATATACATTGCCTTCAGAACTTCTCCATGCCTCTCCAAAGCTCGTTATTACTCCACATGGAAAAACGCTGACGTAACATCCCCCGGAATATTTTTCTGCAGGCCAGTTTTTATCAACATAATAGCGAGGGTTCAGAGCTTTCTCATTGTCAAACGCCTTTGCGTATTGTTCACATACTGCTTGTTTTCTCTCTTCACCACTTTTATTACACCACAAGCGTGCCTGTTCGCCAACTATAAATCTAAGAATACAAATAAAGTTTGCTGAAAAAATTTTCGAATTATGTTAGGCGAACATAGAATATTGCTTTAAAGAAATAGTGTACATATATTGTCTTTAACGTTATGAGGTCCACAATAACAAGCCACTATTCTTTGACAAGTTCTATTGGCCTGTAAGTAAGCAAATTATAGCAGTTTTTGACATGGCACCTTGTTTGAAAGCTAGTAATGTCAGCTCAAGTAAAAAATAGTAAGCTCTGAGACAAGTATATAGTCAAAACTAAACTATTTACCCAGGAAACATTTTCAAAGGAAAATACTGAAAAAATGTTTGTTAACGAGGGCCTAAAATATTGCTGTAATTGTTTGTCGTATTTATCTACATTTACGTCAAGATTTACGGGTGTCATGTTGAAACCTTTTAAATAACTAATCTGTTTCTCTATACAAACACAATCTTTCTATGGAAAAGATATAGATGTTTGATGTATGATGTAACATACCCCATTAATGCTGGATAAGAACCATCAGGCTTAGTGTCATCAAGACTTACATACACAGGACCTGATTCTGCACCAGCTATCAAGACTCCAGATAGACCTTGATCACGCCACCAAGCCTCTTCATAGTAAGTAATGGTCTTGATCACAGATCCCATGGGCATTTTTTGAATTATTGAGTTTTTTAAAGGTGACAATGGAGGTGAAAATGAGATGCTTCTCAGTAAAGCATGGGGTATAGCACTTATTACATATTTTGTTTTGTAAATGTTACCATTTAAACATCTCACAATTGTATGATCAGCTCTTTGGTCAATACTATACACTGGTGATGACAATATTACCTAAACAATATAATAACTATATGTTAGGCATATGCACTTTACAGTTGGGTATCATGACAAGATCTTATATGATATGTATGATCATAGCAAGATCTTGGAAAAATCATGAGAAGATAATGCAAGATCTTATCATGATGTTGTATAGATGTTTAACTTGTGTTAAAATAAGCTTTTCTAGCAGTAACCTGCAACAAAATGTTTAAATGTCACAAAATACCTTCTCACCCAATAGCTCTGCAATTTTTTGACTGATCTGTTGAGATCCTCCCTTAAATTTACGTTCTTGACCTGCATTTTCTACATCAGCAATTCGACAGACACCACCTGCACTTTTTAAATACCATAAGTAATAAAGCAAAGACATGTCATATGGTTCGGCGGCCATGGCATCATGAAAGATTTGGTACATTCGTTTCTTGGAATAGTTCGTCCAACAAGATTTGTCAAAATATTCCTTGGCTGTCATGCAGTCCCATTCTTTGGCATGTTTAGCTTCCCAAGGGGAAACAACAGATACTTGATCGCACATGCTGTCCAGTTGACGAATCTGTGCGTAATAATCTAAAATTGCTATTATATTCCATGTTGACACGTCGCTATCAAAAAATGATGGTCGTCCTCCAAAGTGTTCTGTATTTTTCCCCGAAGTGTACACTTTGTAAGTTTTAACGCCAAGATGCTTTGCCATACGGAGAATACGATTTTGTGTCGGTCCAACATAAGAGCCACCAAGGTCGACATAGTGTACTTCATCTCGCACTAACGTGTGGGTTCGTCCACCAACTCTATCTCTAGCTTCGAGAACAACAGTTTTCAAATCTTCATCATGCATTTGTAAAAGATATGCAGCCGACAAACCACTTATTCCTGCACCAATAACTAATACGTCAAGGGTTTCTTCTTGTGCATTAGACATTTTTTGCAATCACGCATAAGTTTCCTTAAGTTGACTTTTAAAGCTGTTTCTAGCAAAATTGCTATTTTTAATTTCAAATTAATCAAAAATTGTAACACGTATCTTAGAGGAAGAACGTCATGTAAGAGAGTAACAAACGGTTCATGTTCTGTCGGTTTTCGTTTCTCGTGACCAGTAAAATTTTATGTAAAAAAATAAAATTGTAAATAAATTTGGTGGTGTGCAGTTGCAAGAAATTATGGAAGAAGTTGACAATATAATAATACATACCTTACGTCAAATTGGATGGTAAAATGATCATGTTGTAATAAAGTTTCTTTTGAGCATGATAGATATAATTTAAGAATGAACGCAGAACACGTGATATAATAAAACATTAAATATATTGTTCACCTTTATTCCTTAATGACCTAAATGAAATTTTATGTGTTTGGAATGTTAGCCTATTTGACCATCTTTTCTTTTTTAATGGCTGAATAAAGGAAATGGGAAGAAAATCCTCATTTTTACCATTTTACTTTAATAAAACAGGGATTGTATGGATGCTGTATTCTGTAAAAGAGTTGAACAATTCTTTGCAACTATTTTCTAGAGATTTATCAAACAATGTTGCTTTCCCAATTTGGTTGGTGCCAACAATAACACTGATAAAATATTCTTTTGTATCAGACCACCAACATGGCTGAATTGCAAGTCAAGAATAAGTTGCATTTTAGATAAAGATTTCAGCTCACTTAACTCCTGGAAATTATGAAAATTTCCTTAAAATATAAAATATATAAATGCCCCATCACCTACAGTACAAACCCTAAAATATTTAAGAATATTGCATTAATATTAGAAAATTATTTATAGTGAACTGGATGAGTCTGTATGCAGTTTAAAAGAATTGAGCATTGATAATGTGATTGAAGCAACATCTGTTTGTCTCCATGTTATTAATGAAACAAATCAATTTTCACGAACACTTCCCCCAAGCATGTCTGCAAGATTCAGGCTTGGTACTGGACTTGCACAAGCCTGCCAGGTAATTGGAAAAATAAACAATTCTGTTTTTGCAGTAATTTAGTTTGCATTTTCTTATTTTGATCAACCTTTAATATTTTGTGCAAGTAGAAAATATAAATAATATGATCATGCTTGCTTTTTTGTAGAAACCAGCTATTGTTTTTATTATATTAACTATCGAGGAGTATGTTTTAATAGGAACTTGGTTTCAATGGAAGCATTGGTTATCAAACTTTTCTTTATCCAAGTGAAAGTGATATTAGATCATTGTTTATATTTTTGGTGGAGCATTTACCAAAGGAAACTACTGAGGCAACGGATGAACCTATGGGTAAAATTTACATGTTACATAAGATTTTGACTTAGTTTTTTTCAGCTTGTTTTTTCAATTTTGAATAGGAGGTGCTGTTCTTCTTAACAGAAGGATTGCTAATGAATTGTCAAGAATCTTATCTGGAACATGGATTCTTCCATTTTGTAAAAGAAGTGGTATAAGATGGAGTGGCCAGAACTGGCATAGAGAGGTTTATAATTTTTATGATACATCAGTGTTCACCTTCAAATCTTTCCGTTTAAGCAAAGAAAATAAGGTAATGTAAATTCAGTCCATTTAATTTGGTTGATGTCAACTGTAGGGAATCAAGGGAACTCACATATTTCATTCATCTACATTGAAATATCCCAAAGGACTTGGAGATTTATCAAAAAATCCCCAAAGGTTTGTTTGTTTCCATCCCATTACAACCAGGTGAAAAATTTACAGTTAGCATCAGCAAACATTACGTATACAAGCCATTAAAAAATATCTTGTTTCACTAAACCAATGGTATGCCACATTAAATGAGATAAAATGAATAATAGCGAAACGACTAACAAGTGTTTGTTTAAATGTGACTAAATTTTTGTAATCACAGTCTTAAGATTTAAACTCAAAAGTGTGGTTGCCCTTTGGGACATATGTCAAGGGACATTAGTTGCCCAACACAAATTTTGGCTGCCCTGGGATGTCGGGCAGGTGATTTTAAGAGTTTACAAACTTAAGTTTTATTTGCATGCATTGATTGAAAGCTAAGGTAATGCTTTGTACCAAAGTTAATTGTTTTAAAATTATCTTAGGTTTTGTGGCAAAATATGATGATTTATTGTGTAAATTAATATTAATTTTATTGTTAGTTTTTGATGTTTCATTGTAGAAGTGAAGCATTACTATGATTCAGCAGCAATGTCATTTGTGACATCTCAGCCCATGTCACAATGCAACATACCTGATTCTATTTTGGAAGCAAACTGCTTAAAGATCACCAGTGATCTTGAATGGGAAAATGAATGGAATCAAAGTGGTCTTGCATCAGGTCTAACTCCAGAGGTAATTTAATGAAATATATTTGGAAGGGTGTTGAGAATTATGCATTGTTTTCTGCTAGAAAGATCTGTGTGTGTCAGCATATTTGCTTTGTAATATCTTTGTGAATGGGATAATAGGAGATAATTCAATCTCATGTGTTGCATCTTACTACATACATGTTTTACTTGTATGCTTGTACTTGCCTGATTTACTGCATGTATATCTTACTAAGGGTATCTTTTCTATGTACATGTTTCTACTATGTGTGTGTTTACTAAATACATATCTGTTTTACTACATGTATTTTTTACTAAATGTATGTTTCATATCATTTTACTATTTTTATCCTTCTTTTACAGGAATATAAAGCGAGAAAACAGGAAAGACTTCTGAAAAAGTTATCAAAGAATCTTCAGGCTGAAATCCAGAAAGCGAGTTCAGTAACTACCAAAGGAAATAAGCAAGATTTCAACGAGATGATACGTGAAATTGCAGGTACCACTTAATGGTGTATTTGCCTCTTTGTAGCCTCTGTTTTGAGACTTTTTCGAGTAGTAGCTCTGATCTGATTATGTTGTTTCCTTTTCATACATATGCTGATAAAGATGATAAGGTCAAAATACGTGACAGTGAAGATTACTGTCAGGGCGTTGCTGAATTTACTGTGACGACCTAAAATTTTCATAAATATAATTCTAGAATTATAAACGACAATTTTTCTTTTTGATGGTTTATACAGCTATTTACTTAACAAAAACTTAGTAACATTGTTACGGGAAACAGTATGTTGAAAAATCCCCCCGCCAAAATGGGCATAATTCTGTCTATTTATGCCTGTTCGATTCGTATTTAATATTATTGGTTTATATAGTGGTAAAAACCCGTATAAAATTTGAGTATTATTGTCAAAAATAAAGAATTTCTTAAAATATATTGCATGGTGTATTACTGTAGATCGTAATTTGAAAGGAAGCCATGAACATGCGGGCTCAAGATTTACTCGTTCTGAGAAACTTCAGTTTGCTCAGGTTGTAAAGTGTGTAGTGTAATTTTTAACCAAGAATACCTTGTGAATCGTTTCTTAATTCAATATAGGATGATGACAAAGTGTTAGCAGGCATTGCAAGTATTAATGATAATGTCTCACCTAAATTGGACTCGGAGGAGGTAGCTATCTACGTTTTGTTAATGTAAAAACATCGTCACTCGTACTGTATGATTTTTTTTTTACATTCATTTACTCGCTGGAGCATTTTTATTTTAACCGAGTTAGTGGCCTCGATTATCATTTTAGGAATTGTGTGTCAGACACGATCTTCTGTAATCGTCAAAGTTAAAACGTTACCTGAGATTTAGTGCTTGAGATTTAGAGCCAGGTTTCCGATTTAGTTAGTTGAGGTGCTTCTTGTCATGAAATTTTAAATGTATGCTTTAGGAGGTTCAAGCGCGTAGAAAAGACGAAATGGAGAAAATGCAAGGTCGCTTATCGGAGTTGACAAATCGCCTTGAAGGTTTTGAGATCGACATAAGAAAGTTTAATGCTTCTATTCAACAGGTAAAACTATTGTGTTTGACTGTTTATTCAGTGTTCAAAGCCAATCAATATATTTTCCTCTGGTTATATAATATCTTTATTCGCACAACTCGTCAACGAACGTTTCTTATGATTGTGTATTTTTGCAATGTGTGCTTGCAATGTAATTTATGACAAAGAGAAGCGTCGCCATTTCCAGCACACAACGATAGTATAGCTAAGAATCTTTCTTTTTCATGCCAGCCATATTTATAATGCACCAACGTGACATCTATTTTGCTATAAAAGTTTGCTTTTATAAAAATACACTTCTGTCCTAGTTGCTCAGTGTCATAATTATATAAGAAGGTATTGTATCATATTCGTATATGATTTGCTGTCCAGTTTGAATTTGGCAAAATTGGCACTGTCCAAGTTATATGATGTTACACAATACTAAACACCTTCGATGTTTTGTGTGAAATAATCTTTTTTGTCTACTTCTTATCTATTATATTTTTTGTTGTCTCACACATTTTCTATCCTTTCTACGAGTTTCTCTTCTATGAATTATGTAAAGTTTGTAATGTTTATTTGTCTAAGAAATCAAATGTCGCAAAAAAAGTAAAATGATTGTATAAATTTGCAGGGACTTGGGAAACTGTGGGTGTCTGTGTGTGTACGAACACCAACCGTTTTTTAAGAGTGTTTGTCCATTATAGGAAAGACATGCACAAATTAAGCTTCTTGTTTGAACGTTTATGATATGAATGCTACGTTTTTCAAGTGGCAAATTTTGAATGTTCTATGTGGTATTTTAAAACGCAGACGAAAGAGCAAACAAAGATGTTAGAAAGAAAAAATAAAGATGAGGCAGAAACTTATAAATTAAAGAAAAGAACAACTGATTTACTGCCAGATGCCAGCAACAATATTGCGAAATTGGAGGTTAGCAATTTACGTATTAGAAATTACTTGGCTTGGAAAATGAAATCAAAATAATAAAATTTGGTTATGAAAACTTCAGACGGTAGTCGAGAATAGTTCTGGCAGATTACTTACTCTTGCAAAGCAATGGGAAGAACATCGAAAACCTTTGATTGATCAATATCGAGAAATGAAAGCTTTAAACAGTACAAGAATGGTTAGTCAATTTGTGTTTTAACTTTTGATTGTCAAATTATAATAATTTATATTTGACAAATGTTATTGGCTTAGAGTGAGGCTCAAAAGAAAATTCAGCAAATCCGTGAACTTCGTGAAAAGATGAAGGAGTCTGTTGAAGAAGTTCGCCATAGGGATGAATTATTAAAAGACTTGGTAAAATATTTTAGTGTTTACCTTAAAAAAAAATAAATAAACCTGTATCTCTTAATTATTGAATACTAATTAGATTTTTCAGCCTCACCTAAGTTTACTGGTTAATTTTTATTATCTTTAGATAACTGAGTATGAAAACATGATAAAAGATGTTAATAGATCAGCGTATACAAAGAGAATATTGGAAATTGTTGCCAATATAAAAAAACAAAAAAATGACATTGACAAGGTACTTCAACACATGCAAATAACTACTTAGCAATGACATTGTCCTCCTTTAACCTTCAACTAATTTAAACAGATACTTTTTGCCTTAATACTTTTCATCAAGAGCTATCTAAATATTTCTTTTTTGGTTTGTTTGCTTTTTTGCAGATTTTAGATGATACTCGTAATGTTCAGAAAGATATTAACCAACTGTCAGGAAAGCTTAGCCGTACTTTTAAAGTAACAGATGAACTCATTTTTAAGGTTGTATCATGAACAATTTGCGTTTTAAACACTTTATTTTTCTGTGATTCTACGATTATTTTAAATCAATTTATATATACAGGATGCCAAAAAAGACGAGGCATGTCGTAAAGCATATCGCTATTTAGCTAGCCTACATGAAGTAAGCGCTTTTTATTGTGGATTTCAGATAATTTGAATACTCTGAATTTTGGTAGAAAATTTAATAACTAGTTATAAAGTTTGAAAGTCTACAATGAATTTAAAAATAGGTAATCATACACATCATTGGCCCTTTTTTGACCAATTGGTGTAAGTTATGTTCAGACATGCTACTGAATTATCACTCCATGAAATAAATCCGTGAAAAGTTACCTAAAATGGATGATCTATGAATTTTGGAGAACTCCCAAACTATTCGAATTTGATGGTTACCAATAAAAATATGTTTACAATTCGTTGCTTGTTTTCAAAACGGTCATTCCTATTTGATAACAGAATTGCGAAGAACTGGTGCAATGTGTTGAAGAAACTGGAGTAATTATGAGAGAGATCAGAGATTTGGAAGAACAGGTTTCAAATTTTTTATAAGAATTACGAGTGCTCACGTTTCTTTGGAACAATTTAGTCATTAGGTTTTTTGTACTTAGATTGATGTAGAAAACGAGAAAGATACAAGCAGTAATCTTGAAAAGATCAGCAAGGATTATAAAATCATGAAAGAAGAAAATGCTGCAATGGTGAAAAAATTAAAATCTTTATCATAATTAATTCTTATATTCGTGTTCAAGATACTTTTCATTTTGATTTCAAAACTGTTTAAGCAAATAATTCTGTGATTTATATTGTTTATCAACTCAAACGTTCATTCACAAGAGAAAATTTACAAAAGTAACCCAATATAAACGTTTGCATAAAGTAATACTCTCTAATTTTCGGCTTGACAAATCTGAGTCATGATAGTTGAACACAAATCCAGGAGTTGCAAATATTCGTCAGCTCCATCAATGAGGCATTTGTCAACGATCTATAAAGAATCAGAAAGTATCTTCATTTTGTAGCACATCAAATATCCCCTTTTCGTTTAAAATGACTGACCCCCAGTCTTTCGGTTATGACAGATTTCTTTTTGTCTGTCAGATCATCCATCCCAACAATGCGGTCATAAATCTACAAATAGAATAGTCGTCAACTTAATCATTTTCTTTGTTAAAAAGTTCTTTCTTTTCTGGAAAGTTTTATCATTGACAGCCAAACATATCCTTGTCCAAAACTCGTAACGAGTGACGAAGTTATGACAAAGGAAAACAAGTATGTAAAAGCTTGCTTAGTCTTACCTGGCTAATGATTTGTGACCCAGGATAACCTTCTAACATTAAATTCTTAAAAATTAAAAGATGTATAGTGTTTACTATATAATCAGTATTAAGGAAAGCATAACAGATGATGCAATATTTACGTAGCACTTACTTTGACAGACAAGTCTAATTTTTCAAATGAATTTGAAGAAGCTGAATGAAAAATATCGTCAATGACTTTGTCGGGAACAATCTTGTAAATGAAATTATTTGATAATCATACTTGAGAATTGACTATGAAAGAGAGTGTCGACTTCTAATAAACTCTAGTAGCAGATCTTTAAACTGGTGTCCAATTAAGATTTTTAAAGGTGAACATAATACATATGGCAAAAATATACCCCTGATATTTCAACAATATCTTGTTTTGTGATTTCCTCGCTCCCTTTTAATCTAGAAGCACTTTGTAGGTAGGTAATCGCCTGCAGAGAAAGAAACTAATTCGTGCTCTAAAATTTAAAAATCATATACGGCAAATGCTGAAAAGAGAAAATGTAGAGCTAAAGAGAATGAACAGTGAACACACCTTTAGTTTTTTTTTACTTTTTATATAGTTTAAAATTTTGATTATGATGTTGTAGTAGCGTGTTTAGTTGCTGACTTGTACTTTATGAGCAAAAACCCATAAAATTTAGATTTAGGTCGTCTAAATGTTAAAGCAAAGTGGGCAATTTTGAACAGCGTATTTCCGTTCGTCAAAGACGCTGCAAATTAATTGAGTTGATACCAGATGATAGTGGATAAAGAGAAATCATATTAGCAAACTAAAATACCAGCAATGAATTAAAAAAGCAAATAAAGTAGTATAGTACCTTACGCATATCACCATCTGACACCTTCACAAGTTTTTCTATGACCTTGATAAGTCAATAAGCATAATACTTTTCGATTTAAACAATTACAATGCCTCAAATATTTATTGAAATACCATATAACATACCCCAGTTTCATAAAGAACACTTTCTTTCACACAAATTTCTTTCAATCGTTTCAACAAAATGTCTTCATGAAGAGGCTTAAAACGGAACTTTGAACATCTTGATGTGAGAGGCTCAATTATCCTTCAAATATATTTTCTCAAGGTTAAATATTAACTTAATTTTGAGTAATTGGCGATAACTTAACTTGCCTGCTGACATAGTTACAAATTAGACAGAATCTTGTTGTTTTGTTTTGTTTTTCCATTGTTCTACGTAATGCAGCCTGTTCATATAAACAATTTTAAAGAATAGTCTTAGATAAAATTTATAAAAGCTATCTTAAGAATTTTGTATCTTCATAGATTGGTATTTTATATTGGCTAAATTTGTGTACCTGAGCATTTCTAGTCATTGAATCAGCTTCATCCAGGATTACTATTTTGAAGGGTGGACATTTTTTCCCACTACATCATAAAATTAAAAACTAAAATATTAACTTAAAACTACAACAAATCATTTTCCTGCAGAGGCTTCCATTTATTATTGATCATGTTATTAAATCTTTTGCTAATATATACCATAAAAAACAGTTACCTTGGTGCAGTAGAAATAGCTCTTTGAGAAAATTTCTTAACTTTGTTACGAACAACCTTTGAATAAAGTCAAATCACACAAATTAATTTGAAGCTAGTTACAGTGAAAGAAAATTTTAACATTAAAGCAATACATTCAATCAATGTTTATAAGAGTACAGCATACCTCAATTCCTCTTTCATCAGAAGCATTTAGCTCTAATACTCTATCTTTCATTAGTTCAGGCCTAAGCAATAATTCTAATGCATTACAATAAAGAAATCTCCAGCAAGGATAAAAATCTTAACTTATATCATAGATTACTATAATACACTGGTATTGTAAACTTACAATCAGCAAATAATTCATGTAAAAAAAAATATTACCCATATAATTGTCGTGCAATAGCCAAAATAGTTGATGTTTTTCCAGTGCCAGGGGGGCCATAAAAAAGAAGGTTAGGTAGTTCAGCTGCTTGATTTAGTTCGAGGGTCCTTTTTAAAACATTTACGACCTCATCTTGGTAAGCCACTTCATCAACTGACTTTGGACGACTGGAAAAAAAACCCCAGAGAGAATATGGTTTAGTTAGGTGACAATGACATTGTGTGGATTAGTTAGTGTTGGTACATCATCTCACAAGGATAAGAAACATGATGAAGAAAATCATGACAGGGGCATTGCTTATGAAGAACACTATTGTTGAAATATGCAATGATGAAAGGGGACAGATCTTGGCTAAACGGCCTATGGCAATTTGCTTTCATAAAGTAAGTTATGATAAATTTTTTAATAATCCTTGTTGAATACTTACTATTTTTCAACCCACGGAATTGCTCTGGGCTCTTTATCTATCTTAGATTTCGCTTTAGATTTTGCCGACGTAGCCCCTTTTAAAAACACGTCCATAACACAGTAATATGTATGAATAATAGTGTGAATATTATACTCTTGATGAATTTAATTTTCAAAACTTTTTCGCGCCTTTTACCGCCATCACAATTAGACCAAATGAATGGCTTCAATTATATTGCTATATTATGAAGTATTCAAAACATGATGAGGATACTAAATGTTTAAAACTAAAAACGTAACAATTTGTAGGACAGCTGTAGCTAAAATTTTCTTGCACCCTGCCCAGCTCGTCGTTATTATGAGAACAAATACTCATAAACTTGCATTTTGCATTAATAGTTTTCTTTAAATTAATTGTTTTACTGTTGGTCAACACGAACATATAAATGATTTGTCTGTTGTTCATTTAAATGTTGGACAGAAGGTGCTGCAGGCTCATTGTAACATGACATAATCTACATTTATATTTATGCCATTTGCTTGGTCGGCAAATTTTGTCCATCACTTTCAAAGTGTTTGTTTCATTTTTAATTCGTATTTTTAATTGTTTACTTTTGAAACAGATAAAATCACTGAGCACTATGGCTATGCAAGACATGATAAATAAAATGAAGGGTACAGCGTTAGGAGTTGCTGAATATCTTACTCCAGTTCTCAAGGTATAAAATTATGATTGTTGTTGATATCGACTTGGTCAGGTTAAGCCAATATTTCAATTTTTGAGTTGTTTTTGAAACTATTGAAACTATTTATACACTGAATTTCATTCCTTTATAAAAAAAATAATGTTTTTAGGAATCCAAATTTCAAGAAACAGGTGTACTTACACCGGACGAGGTACAATTAATTAAATTTTTCATGCAAGTTATGGTATGTTAATTTCTTGGGTCAAATACAGTTTAATTTAGCAGACACCTTATGCTGTTCAGTAGTAGATTACTAATTAGGAGGCCTGTTGGCCAAAGGCAAAGTTCTTGGCTTTTAAGTGTTATCTATGTATAATCTATTCCTCCCATTAAGTTCTGTCTCTTGAGGATGCTTTTGTTCATCAAGTTCTTATTCCATTGCTTTTGCATTTCCTGTTTGTGATGCATAGTGTAAACAATAGGAAAAAGTTCATTTTAAAATTCAAATGAAATTGTGAAAATCATTGACATGGTCTAGGAAACTAGGAAAACCCACTACTTCATAAGTTCCGAGCATTGTACATTTAAAAAGTAGATACTATGAAACTGTTAAATCTGCCAAAACAGCCCGCCAGATGTCATTTTGATCAAGATTGTATAGGCATCTCTTGATATTAACAATTCTTGAATGTTTTAGTTTGTGGCAGCAGGAGACCACCTTGTTCATCACTGTCCAACATGGCGTTGGTATGATATTTAGGAATATTTGGGTTTTTAAATACATAGATACATTCATGATATATTCAATGATTATTTATTAATACCTGTGTGCCTTATGTGTCTACATTTTACAGACAAAATATGCACAAAAATAATATACAATGTAATGGATATAGATGAGATTTAAATGTAAGATTATCATAGTTTACAGTTTGCCTTTAATTTTTTTACATAAATGAGGTCTTCTGGAGAAGAATCAAAAGTGAAGGGATATTTACCCAAGGAAAAGCAATTCCTTGTTACAAACAATGGTGAGCTCATTTGATATGTTTTTTGTTTTACAAAAAAAGTTAAATTACAATTCTCAATTGTTAATTATAATCTCACAAATAGTACACTAATCTTATGAAGATTTAAAGCATGGTTCTCAAATACTCATCATAGTTGTTTTACTCCTTTCTGAAACGCAAGCCAATAGAACAGAGTTCAATCCAGATGACTGAAACAACTCAATTGAGACCACTAAAAATAACTACATAGGATGACTGTATGACAACAAGACATAGCACTAAATCAGGGTCCCTAAACTGTCTGTTATAGCAAAGGTTGATGATAAATTGTAGTTGAAAGTTGAATGAAATCAAACTTTTGAAATGTTGTTTGATAATTTCTTTAAAACAATTAATGTGTTACAGCAATTACTTATAGCTTATTTACTCGTTTGAGCGCCTCCCCCGAATGAGCGCCGCACAAACTACTTTCAAATGCAAGATTAATCAAAATTGTTGAAGATGCTACTGCAAAACAACATCAAATCTTAAATCAACCTCAGAAATTTATTTTCTTGTGAAAACAATGTAAAAATATTGTAACTTGTTGTTAAATATTTTTGTTAGAAAGCTGAACTGAAAGATCTTTGAAATAAGCACCGTCCTCGAATGAGCGCCGCCTCTAAAGCTCCAAAAATTTAAAGAGCGCCGCGGCGCTCAAACGAGTTAATCCGGCAATTTTTATTAACATTGACAGTCATCCCTGAATTGGCCTTTGAGTTGTGGTGAAATTGCTGGTCGTAATAATGAAATTCTATGATGAATTTCCTAAGTTTGATCCATAAACTAAATTTTTTTATTTTAAACTGATCATTTTTAGTACCATGTTACAAACGATGTAAGCAGATGGAGTATGTAGATGAAAATGAAACAATTGTTGAGCCTGAGGATGAAGATGGTGGATGGGTCAGCACGCACAATACAGATATTTCATCGAATCAACATTCAAACACGACGCAAGACGAGAAATCCGCTGAAATTGAACTTGATTCAGATAAAGTTAGTAATGTTTATATGTAACTACCTTTGTCCTTCTTTCTCTTTATTTGGAATATTAATTTGAAATATATGAAAGAACTGTCGATAAAAACTGATTTGAGGCTTCATGTCGAGAACCAAAGTTTTCGGCATATAGAGTTTTTTTAATTTGGTTTGTTGAACTTTTTTACATTTTTTACGGGCAACCACCGTACCATAATTCGACTATCTAAAACATGAACAAAACACGCATGAAATAAATGAAATCATTTGCTCTTTCAGACTTAGTTCAACAGTAGAAATTTCCAATTGTGATTGTTACTCACATTTTTTAGACATGAATATTTTTACCCGTCAGTACACACCTCTGTATTTTAACTTCTATGGCATCTGCATGCACTTGCGTTTATCATCTTTGCTGCTTTGCCTAAACAAATCTATGCAGAATATGTAAATAAAGATTATATTTCCCAATCAGAATGTGAAGGTTGTTGTTGGAGACGATGATGATGACGATGACGATGACGAAGAAGCTGAGGATATGGAAGGTTCGTTTATGTACAACGTGAATAATATTTTCTATTCATCGTCTTTATACTCGTCATTTGCATACCCTGGTACCGGATTTTTATAGAAACTTCATTATTTATCGAAGGAAAATTTTTTACATATTGTCTAGTTTTTATGTGTGATGTGTACATAACGGAATTTGGTTCTCGAAAGAGTGTAGTCATGCTAATTTTTCTTCTTTTTTTTGTAAAGAATATGAAGAAAGTGAAGATCTGGAAACTGATGAGGTATTCTATACATATATAATGCATATGAGAATTGAAATACCTACGTTAAGATACTAATTATATGAATACATGAAATATTTCTATACATTCAAGTAAATATATGCATTGAAGAGGTCATTTAGCAAGTTTTTGTATTGGAAGAGACTATCAGGGCACAAAGTTTCCCCTTCATACTTAGATTTTAATTTTTGTGGTTTAAAAATAGCTTTAGTATATGACATGCAATGCAGAGAGTTAGACAGAAACCATTCATTGATTGTCAGGATTTTTTCCATTTAGTTCCCTTAAGTAAAATTGTGGAGTTATATCTCCAAATTTATTTGCTTCACTATCTTCATGTCAGGCGACTTTAGAAGTTAAAAAAATATCTCCTAAAGCTGAAGTGGATGTAAGTCATTCAAATGATGGAATTCTTCAAACGAGAACTTATGATATGTATGTGACGTATGACAAATATTACCAAACACCAAGATTATGGCTCTTTGGATATGATGAGGTTTGATATATGCTTTACTGGGGCCGGTTACACGAAGGTCGAATATTGCTATCCATTGGACAGCAAATTTTTTCAACGCCCAAAAAACCTGTTATAAAATAAAATAATACGATTTTAACTGAACAATCACTGAAATGAAATATTGTTTCAAAGATAACAAAATTTCTTTGTCGCATGAAAAATATAAACACCATGTCTACAAGTTTAAAATTTTTGCTATCCAATGGATAACGCTATCCAGGCTTCGTGCAACCGGTCCCTGATGTCTGTTTATTGCATTCAGTTCTACGTTGCAATTTGTTAATTTTATAGATTCGCAAACCTCTTTCAGTTGAAGAAATGTACGAAGACATGAGTCAGGTAATTTCTTCAATGATAAAGTACATCATATTTGACATTCTATCCTTCTTAGTCACGTGGACACTTTTTTACGACTCTATGTGACTTTCATAGAAGATTTTTTTATTACAGCTCGTTGTCTCTGTTTCATGTGATGTTTCAAATAATAATTAAAATAGTTCTTTACAACTAGATTTGTAACATTTTGTTGTTCATAAAAACGCTAAATGGCAAAATTACCCCCACCCCCGGTTTTTGTTGTCGTATTTTAACGAAATTAATGGTTTTATTTTCCAGGATCATGCAAAGAGAACTGTTACAATAGAGTCCCATCCTCATTTACCCACCACTATGCCTTCAGTCCATCCTTGCAGGTCACTTTGACAATTTATTTTGACGATTATATTGAAATTAGTTTTGTTGATCAATACATATTGCTAATTTTATAGGCATGCTGACGTAATGAAGAAAATTATTGAAACTGTTGCTGAAGGTGGCGGAGAGCTTGGTGTTCACATGTATCCTTTAATGTTCAAATTATACCCTTTTTTTGTAATCTTGAGTCATTATTTGTGCGTGTTGGAATGAAGGTAAGAAATGTAGTTTTTCTATTTTGAAATGTCATCATCGTTTCTCCATGTCAGAACAACAATTATGCTTAATTTTTTCTCGTTATTCAAGTAAATTATATTGATCTTCTAAAACACCTTCGCAAAAAATTGCTTTTTATAAATCGTCTTGGCTCTTGCATACTATTTAGCTTCGTATTTATATATATATATATATGTGACACTGAAATGATTCTCATTCATAAACTTTTCCTCAAAAACTAGTTGGTTTCTAGTTTTGTTGAATATGTTTTTATAGTTGGTAATCTTTTCATGAAATAAACCAACTAGAACCTCGTGATATAAACCTATTTTCTCCAAATATTTGAATATTTGGTTTATCAAAACATTGTATATTTCGCATTTTTGCAAAGTTGGGCTAAATTAAGGGCAGAATAACCACAAAATCACGAAATCTGAATCGTCTCAACATTCTTAGAACGTATTTTTTATGCAAGATTCGCACTTACTATATTACTCTATTAAATTGATATTTAAACGAATTACGAAAGCAATGTGTAGTATGGCTGGGAAAAATGAAAAGTAAAATAATATATATATATACAAAGGACATTTGATTCATTCTTACGTTTTTACAAAGATTATATCAACTTGTATTTCCTTCACATCATCAACAAAACAGGTATCTTTTGATATTCTTGAAGTTTGTACAGGCTGTAATTCCAACTATTGAGTACGATTACACGCGTCATTTTGCAATCTAGAAATATTTGAATTAAGACAAAGCAAACTACTGTGATTGATGTTATGGTGATTGGATGGTTTAGTTTAATAGATCGACGACCGACTGACATTCATTACGTTATCTATTTTTCATGATATGCATACAAAACAATCAACAAATTCTTTGTAATATATAATAGTGTATTTGTTGTTAGTCCAGAAATTTTGCTCGTAAACTCATACTTAATAAATAAGCTTAAAACTTTTCAACCTGTAAGTTATGGTTATTTTTTGCGAGACATGAATAATATTGTAGATGTAAATCCTTTGTTTGTTCTGCTAAAAAATATTATTGGGGGGGGGTGGGGGTAGGAAATTTATCGCTTATAAATGAAGTAACGTTCTCTGCTTGATCCCTTTAATCACATTGTATATTTTGACAATATTCTATATTTTTGCCTTTCACTTAGAGCAAATTATTTATCACTAGGCTGTGATATTTAATTTCTTTGGCTGAAATGATTTGTTAATATCTTTGTTGTTTAAAGAGGTCACGCACTGATGGTATATCATTAAAATTTTAAGTGAGTTTAGAATTTTCTTTTGCGGTTCTTGCTAACCAGCTGAAACTCTATTCAAAAGCAATTGTTTTAGCTATTTAGATTTAAAATGATTTGTGATAAACCGTCGACGAGATGTGTGTGTTTTCTGTTGTTTAATATTGAATGAGATTGCTTTCTGACGGCGTTTCAACTGGTGGTTGGCTCGCCATGAGATCTTATTATGAAAGTGGCCACCGACGTTGCACCCCAAAGAGTGAAATTTAATACAAACGGGCCTTACTCAGCTGCCCTGGTCATAAACACACAGATGATACCGATAACATCTTTAGTATTTGAGAAATTTCTTATTTTTAGTTCCCGGAGAAGTGTTTTTTATCGACGTTGATTCATACTTTAAAGTAGACAAGATTGTCATGTTGTACTTAGCGTGGCATGCAATAAAAGCGGTATGCGCGGCAGGGACAAACGTTATTATTATGCCACTTGAAAGGATTCATTCATGTTATCCCCTGGGGTTTCATCCACAGAGCTTGCTAATCTAATAAAGAAATTTACGTTGATGACTTTCTGTAGGGGGTCGAACAATTTGTGTACAAACTGTCTGAAAAATGAAATTAATTTTTTTTTTCCCGAGCATTTTATGCAGCCGATATCATAGTAAACTTGAGTTTTTTGGTCGTAAGTTGGCGTGAAAAGAATTAAGAACATCACTGTAGTACGATGGCGCCGTCAAACTTGTATTCGTGGGATGTCGGCAACTTACCGCCATAGGAAAATAGACCGTGCCTGGAGATTGTTCCTTTTGCTATTCAATAAAATACTTCGACTATCCTCAGGTGTCAAGATACAAGAAAACACGCTTCGTGAAGTAGAGTTGGTTTTTCTCTCACAAAATTTACATATATTCAAGGATTTTGAATCTTGATAAAATTACGATTTTCATATTGACCAAAGTCATAATTTGAGTTTCATACTTTGCTTTCGATATAAAGTGCATAAGTACGTTATTGATATCTAGCTGGGGGTATGAAGTCAATCTTATCCATTTCAAGCCGCTGTGGGGAGCCGACATATTGTGATTTGCGATTGATGAGTCAATTTCAAAGCACCGCAAGAAGTTTGGATGTAAACAGGAGAAGAGTTTTGTTACCAAGTATGGAAGGTCGTCTACAGCTAGATGATACTATATCACAATGTTCACAAGCAAATATGAATAAGATGACAATGGAATATCATGATGAAGCTTGTGATGAAAGAACGCCAGGAAGCTTTTGCATTCAAGCGGGTTTAAGGAACAAAGCAGAGACGCAGCTTGACGATAGTGGTTCAAGTTATTTTTCGTTCCCTGCGTATCACTCAAATCCATCATCTCCAGAACATAACTGTGAAAATAATGAATCATTTGAAATTATGAATCGGGTAGAAAAAAATCAGCTCACACATAAAGCTTTGGATGTTATAGGGGAGAGAAAATGTTTGCCCCCTGCTGATGGCAGTCGACATCAACATGGAAATTTGTGCTCAGACTCAGGAACAGCATCTCGTGTTGTTTATGACCTCCCCTCCCGCCTGTTAAACGAGACACAACAAAAATTTGGGGATAATACTGCTCTCGTAGAAACAAATGTCAATGTCATGTATTTTAAAGATTGCCAATACAGGCAACAAAACCGTAGATTTCCGCAAATCCCAAATCGCATCGAGGAACACGAGGATTCGATGCTTAACAGTGAGGGTTTTATAACAAATTTGTCCCTCGATATACCCGAAGGTGCCCCAAGTATGATACCACACATTTATTCATCGTCTTCGTCTTCCACCTCAACTTTAAGGAGTGTTAAATTAGAATGTGGCGAGAATGCTCGGAATCAGTCTGAAACTAAAACAAATATAGTTTGTCAATGGCAGGAAGTAAGACTCGGTAATGGAAATGATGAAGTGTGTGGAAAAGAATGTTTGACAATTCAAGATGTTGTCAATCACTTGAGAGATGAACATTTGCCCAATGCTGTAAGTAATTATTCATGTTTCTGGCGAGGCTGTTCAAGACTCGGCGTTCCTTTTAAAGCCAAGTACAAGCTTGTAAATCATTTGCGTGTTCATACTGGTGAGAGACCGTTTGTATGCACCTATCCAGATTGTAATAAGGTTTTTGCTCGAACAGAAAATCTGAAAATTCATATTCGAACACATACTGGAGAAAAACCGTTTCTTTGTGAATATCCTGGATGTAGTCGAAGATTTGCGAACTCTAGTGATCGACGTAAACATATTCACGTACATACAATGGAAAAACCTTATCGTTGTAAGTTTCAAGGATGTAACAAATGTTATACACATCCAAGCTCTCTAAGGAAACATGTGCGAACGCACAATATCCGCGACAAAGCTAAATCAAGTATTGAACTTCAGCAAATAGTCGATACTAGTAGTACCCCAAGATTACCAGCAATATCCTATCCAGTCATACGTACCACAATGACTTAAGAAAATAGTATAATAGCACATTATCGACTTACTATTTCTAACTGATGATTTTATTTGCGACAACTAGGAAAGGAACTCTTTTGTTCGGATGTTATTTCAAACAAAAACTCCTTTTAAAATGGAAACGAATTTGTAACATTGAAAAATCACAACTTCTTACTTGCTGGCTTTTTCATCGTATTAAATATGAGAAATAATTGAAGAGATATATGAGTCCTGTTTGATTTTATGTTAACTGTCAGATGTCTTTGTTTCGTTCATTCAGGCTCGTATTTTGTGTTTAGTTATTTAGTTTAGTTTGACCAGATAGATTTCTGTACCATTGAATACTAATTAGTGCACAGGTCAGACATGAGCCCGCGCTACAGGCCTTTATAATGCTATACATACATTCAGTCAATATTTATAAAGTTGGTCTATACGAATTTGTGTCATTGACGTTCCATAATATCATGCATGTAACAAGTTTGTCAATGTGTCCATGGAGATTTTATTTTAATTTTTTTCGAGTTTTATTTTGAATTTTTTTGTATTGTTCATATTCCTTGCTTCCATTTCTTCCATCCATTCCATTCCATTTATTCCATTCCATTTCTTTATTTCTTCCATTCCTTCATTTCCTTCTGTTCTTCCATTTCTTTTTTTCCTTCATTCTTCCTTTCCACTTCATTTCTTTTCCACTTCCTTCTGTTCTTCATTTCTTTTTTTTTCCTTCCTTCTCTTCATTTCTTTTTCCATTCCTCATTCTTCATTCTTCCACCTTCATTTCCATTCCATTCTTCATTTTCTTCATTTCTTCCTTCATTTCTTCCATTTCTTTCATTTCATTCCATTCATTTCTTTCATTCTTTCAATTCTTCCTCATTTCTTTCATTTCTTTCTTCTTCCTTTCCTTCCTTCTTTTCTTCTTCATTTCTTTTCCTTCTTTTTCCTAATTTTTTCTTATTCTCATTTCTTTTGTCGTTATACACTTTGTTTCATTCATTTTGTTGTAATTGTTCTTGTTTGTTTTCTCGTGCTTTATCTTGCATTATTTGTTTGTCGACATAAAGGTGCGAATAAATTTTATTAATATCGACAACAATGTTATTATTTTTATTACTGTTTTTCTGCACGTTCGGCCGCAATTAGAATAAAAATTAAAGTTTTAGCTACTATGCGTCGATGCGGAAGTATTTTATATTAAGAAACTAAACCGCCCCCCCCCCGCACTGTCACTCATTGTACGTCTATTCAGACGTTTAAAATAAGGACAGGCAACGCAGTGGATGAGAGGGTGTAAGAACATAAACAAAAAACCAACACCTATCAATTTACAGAGGGTCAAATCAATGTTACTTATAACCATTAAAATGAAGTAATGATGATTAAACGGAAATGTTTGTGTGCGTTGCAGTGAAGAAGCCAACAATTTGTTCCCAAAAACAAATACGAACGATTATTGTGGGCACAAACATCATTAATGTGGAATGTGAAGCAGTGAATCAAGTTTTATTTAATGATGAATAAAGGAATGCCAAGTAAACGACATGCTAAGTTTAGAGTTATGCCTATAGTGACACAAAGGAATTGTTTCTTGATATTATGAAAGTACTTTAGATTGGAACGTCAGATGATCTGATCGAGGTAAAGGAATTTTAGAAAAATAGCAGTGACCATCAACGTTACCTAAAAAATAATTGGAAAGAGCTCTGTTTATTATGATGACAATCACACGTTAAAGAAATTCTAAAGTTATATCATGACAAAGAAAAGGCACGGTGTCTTTACGATGATGGAGACTAGGCTTACCTACTATTGAACATGAAAAGGATTCACCTAAAAGGATCCTTTCTTTATTTCTTGCATGTATACTTGTTGCTCCCATTAACTATTGCTGTAAGATACCATTTCTCAACATTCAAATGTTATTTAATGTTATAATCACCATCACGAAAAAGCAAAACAACAACCTTTTGCTCGAATATGCACAAACAAATTGGAGATTCGATTTGCAATTAGGCAATGGCAAAAAAAAGTTGAAAAAATAACGTCTTTTTTACGACAGAACTGTAATACTGGTTTCTATAAGTCATTGCCCATGTCAGGCATTTTTTTTGTGAAAAATATACCACGTGTCAACAGTAGATGCCCTTTGCACCATGCAAGTGCCTTACAGAAATTTATACCCCCCTGGAAATCAAATGTTTTTCCTGCGCCCTTGCCTTTTTTTTTTTTTTAAAAACATATTGCCAGTCATCGTTTACATTGATGACGTTAGTCAATCAGCAGAGAGGACACCGAAATTTGCAGCTGATAATCGAGCACGGAATTGAGCTAGGCAGTGCTTTAAACAAAATTTTGATTCTTTTGATGTCTTATTGTTACCTACTACCAGTAATCATCTTCCTAGTTTTTTCACGACTAACAACGTACGTAGCTAATAGAAAATGACTATTATTCTTTGTATATCTGTAAAAGGCAGTTTTGACATAAGTTGAGAGAGTCGTACAAAAATATGGACTTATTTAATCGTAAGTTAGAAACGTTAGAGATTCATATCAAATAAGATCTGAATATATTTGAGGATGAGTTAAACATATGACAATAATTGCGCGTACCATAATAATTTTCTTATATCATATTACATAAAATAGCATTTCAACTAAATTTTGATAAGGCATTCAATAACAATATAAAAAAATCTGTGTATAGTTTGTAGTCCAATTCTGAACTTCAATCTTTAGCTCTTTATTTGATGTACCTTGATCCATGTTGTACAATCATTTCAAAAGTAATCATGTGACTTTTTCATTTGTACAAATTAGTTTGTACAAAAGCAAAGCATTTGTTATAATTTTACCAGTTAATATGTTACCAATTTGACTGATTTTGGTTTAATGCAACTACACAAGAATAAAATACATTGATAAACATTATTTACCTTGCACTTTCTCTGAAGTTTGAACACTGTTATTTAAAGCTCATAATAATCACAGCTTCTAAGAGTAACTCACTTATTTATGCAAAGATCAATTTTAATTTTAAACATCAATCAACTGCTGTATTTTTAACGTTATTATTAGTTAAAAAAATGGGAACATCATGAAAAATATTGAGTCACATGTTATTGTGCTGTTTCGTGTTCAACTGCAGTACACTGAATAGCAAATTATTTTTTACAAGGAATATTGACTAATAACAGCAACATTTTATTTATGCAGTACTTAATTGATATACGGCTATAAATGTAATGTTGCTTTGAACTGGAAAGTCAGAGCATGGTAAATTTAACGACAGAACTACAATCACCCTTGAAGTCTGTGATAAGAGATTGAATTCTGTCTAGCAGGGCAGCACTGTTACACCTTGTCTTTGAGTTCAGTCACTATGACATGATTCTGACATAGAAACGCCTAGTTTGGGAATCCCATCTGCCCATAGTCTGCAATTTGAGACGCTAGGTGTCAACGCCAATGCCGTCAAAGACTAATTAAACGGAAATCTTAACCCATATATGAACACAATAGATGGGTACAGAAAGACGGATAGGTAGACACGGCGAGACGGATAGTATGATACGATTAGTAACGTGTGCACAGAAAGTCTTTGTTTTTGATTTAATGATAATGATAAATTTGCTGAAAAAATTGTCATGCTTTATAGGCCAAAAGCGCACTTTTTGCACTGAATGCCGATAAACCTTTATAAAGAAAACTCGTCCATCTTTATACTTTTATACTTTTAGGGATTTAGAGTTATTGCAAAAGTAGAGTGAAGAATACAGATTCAGGACAATCCGTTTCTTTTTACGAACTTAACGCCTGTTAGTTTTAACTTCTATATATTGAGTCATATTTGCGAGTTATTTTAGCAAAATCTTTCTTTTCACTCTGCGACAAGTTGATTTAGTCCTATACTGGAGTTAAAATAACTCTCTTATTTTAACACCTGATGGAGTTAAATAAAACCCATTAAATCACTAAAAATAAAAATGCGCAGTCTTTTTCGTTCGTCCGTTTATCCGTGTTAGATTTTTCACTAAACCATCGACAAAAAACATGTAATCATTTGCGTAATTAGCAACGACTACCTGCCGCTACAGCCTACAAAATAACAATATTGAACGAATTATTTTGGCAGCACCTACATAATGTTGCTTTCGTCAAAAGTATGAAAATACTTGCTTGAGATTCGTCAAATCTCGAAAAGTAAATAACGACATTTCAATTTTTGTACATCCACGTGCAAATGTGATGACCTTCTTCTAGAAAAATCAATCTGATTCAATCAAGACTCAATTCTATTCCATATTTGGTGTGAAACGTGTTTCGATAGGTAGAGTATCACTGTGAAGTATCATCACCGTATTCACACCTTTCACATTAATTCTTCCTACTACGCACAAATGGGACGCAATGTCATGGTGCATTTGCTCAGTTGGAGTGTAATTATGAGTATATATATGACCAGAATTAAACACTACTTGAGTTGAAATTTTCGGTGCTTGGGAAAGAAAAGAAAGATGTTTGTCCAGCTTATTTTAGGTTTGGTAGCTTACACCATTTGCTCTTGCACTGGTAAGTATATAAATATACAAAGTGTATAACAATGTGTGTATATATATATATGTGTGTATATTTAAAATCATTGAAAATCCGGAGAAACTTTTATTTTTAAACAATATAATGCCTGGATTACCAATCTTTAAACATATATATATACATATATGTACATTGTTTTGAAACATCTTGATTGTTTGTGCTCTAACATTTGGCAGAAATGTCAATTAGTCTGCATTATGCAGTTAGTGGTACAGCGGCAAATAATATGAAAATAGCGCGAATGCAATACCAAGCGCAAGATTCCTTAGATTTTAAAACAAAACCACTACATGCACGGCATCTTTGACGGATGTGCAATGACTACTTGGCTTGTTGGTATTAGGCTACGTCATTTAATTAGTTTTTTAGATATATGAAACCTTTAACGAAAAAAGTCTGCATTATGACTCACAAAGTGTTTTATGAAGCCATAAAATTACTAGAGTTTATCTGCAAAGAGATCCTGAGTCGGGAACTTGCACTAGAGAAGGGACTGCATGCGTTAGAGAAACGGATGAGTTGACATGTGTCTTTGACTCTATGTATATGTTAAAAAAGACTCTGACTCCGAGTAAACTTATTATTGAGTTTCATGCAAGATTTGATCCCTCAACCCTTAATCAAAAACAAAAATTTAAGTTAACGCCTACAATTAGGAAATCCTGTACCTTCGCAACAAAGCATTATTGTGGACGATGATGAAGTCAATTGGTCAAAATTATTCAATGCAATGAACAATCAAGTTGGACGCTCCAGTGGTAACAGAGATTATTCCATCTTCGACGAAATTATGCGAGTTAATATGATGGCACGAGGTAAATTGTATTCCTTGACAACAAAAAAAAATGAAAGAGAAAATTCATTGCATCATTTGTTTTTATACAATGTAGGAAGTGGCCTAGCACGCAGTAGTGATGGCGTCTTCCTTTATCAAGGCGACATAAATCTGGAAAAAGAAGAAGTTTCAAATCTAACGCGGGAAAACTCGTCTCAAGCAAATTCTGTAGCACGTGGCAAACGGGCAGTTATAAGAACAAATGGTGTACGACTGTGGAAGAGAAATCCTTCATATGCAATTGATAACAGTTTGCGTAAGTTGAATGCTTGTATTGAAAAACTGTTGCATTTGCTAATTAGAAATTTACATCATTAAAATAGGTGGATATACTAGCCATATAAAAAAAGCAATTGCTGAGTGGCAACAGACGTTATATGGCTGTTTGGGAACTTGGCGAGACGTAACAACTTGCGAAATAAACCAGTAGACTACATGTACTTTTTTCGTGGAACTGGGTATGTATCATCTCAGATAGAATAAAACAATCATGCTCGAAGCTGATTTAATTGAGTTTATTTATGCTATAGTTGTTACTCACAAGTTGGCCGTGTAGGACGAAGGCAAAAAATATCTATTGGTAGAGGTTGCGAACAGCATGGAATAATTGTCCACGAAATAGGTAGGACAGCGTAAACCCACTGTTTACAAAATACTGGCAGCCATATTTTTGTTTTTTACTGTTCTCTTTTTATAAACAATGGTTAAGTGTGTGACAATTGATCATTTCCTTTCATGCACTGTTTTACAACATGTTTAGGTCATGCTATGGGTCTCTGGCATGAACAATCTCGCCCAGACAGAGATAGCTACGTCCAAATAGCTTGGAATAACATTTTATCAGGTAAATGATTATTTCGGTGGTTTTATCTTGTTGCAGATAGCCATCAAACTGTAACTATTTTTATTACAAACTTGACCATACAAAATATTTTTATTTAAATTTGGCAAAGGAAAGATAACGGGAAAAAAAACATCCTTTTTATAGGCATGGAATTTAATTTTAACAAACATTCAACTAATCGTATCAACAGTTTCAATGTTCCTTACGACTATGCCAGCATAATGCATTATGGAGCTTATGCATTCAGCAAAAATCGTAGAGCTACAATTATCAGTCGTAAAGCTGGCGAACGTTTTGGGCAGCGAGCAGGACTGAGTCCACTTGATAAAAAACAACTTCGGTTGCTTTATGGATGCAATGTTGGCACCACAAAAAAACCGGTACCAACGACTACATCAGGTATTTCATAAAATTTAATCTTTATACATAGTAACTGATGATGTACTTATACTAATTTCCAAACAACCTGTTAGAATGATTTTGTTTGAAAACGATAAACTGATATAAATATATTACAAAATGTGTTGGCGATTGTACTTTTTGTGTATATAGCTTGTATTTTATGAGTTTTCTAAATTCGTTAGGTTGCGTTGATAAAGAGACTCCAAGTAATTGTAACTACTGGAAGAACCAAGGTTATTGCAGGAGTAAAAAGTACGCAGCATACATGAAGGAAAATTGCTGTAAAACATGTGGCACTCTTGTGAACACGCCAAAACCGACAACAAAACCTACAAAAGCAACAACAAAAGCAACGACAAAAGCTACAGGTATATTTTGATGATTTAGTCTAATTTCCAATTGGAGGCTGTATAGACAATCTTTGTTTCAAATCAGTTTTGATGTCGACTGCCCAACAAAGCTCAGCAATAAAATTCTATGCAAGAACTGCAAAAAATATTTAAATATATTTTGAAAAGTTTCGAATTTGCACGTTTTGTTTGAATTGTTTCTGTTGTATCAATTCCGTTTATTTGTTTAGTTTGCTTCGATATACAGTCTTCAAATAATTGCAATCACTGGAAAAGACAAGGTTATTGTAATCATACGTTCCAAGTTTATATGAAGAAAAATTGCTGTAAAACATGTAATCCTACACCAAAACCCACTAAATCAGGTATTGTGATAATTTAGTCTGAATCAATTTGAACTTTCCTTCAATTACTTAATAAAACTCTACAATAGTAAAAACAAAGTTATCGATGAGTTTATGTTTTGCTAGTTGACAATTGGGTTTAAGTTGTTTTAAGAAACCTGCTTGGTAAACATACAGCAGAAATGTCATAATACAATTGATATTTTGGTTTTAAATCAATTTCAAATTCAAATTGCACCTTTTGTATTTTGTCGAAGCAGTACTTATTAGGGAAGTATTTTAAAATTCTTAATTCAAACAAAACGTAATTCAAGTCATTATACTTGCTAAAGACATTTTTGCACCCTATAACTTTTGTTATTGTTTTTTTACAGCATGTAAAGATAACAACAGGAACTGCGCAAGTTGGAAAAATCTAAATTATTGTTCGTATAGCCAGTATCGTCGATACATGATGCAAAATTGCAAGAAATCATGTAACATATGCTAGGTTTATGGTACTTTACTCTTTGTAGCTAGTGTAATTACAATAATACTATGTAATTACAAAGTTATTTTATTTGTATAATGTATTTATGTAATGTTGAGGATGAGCTAGCCAAGGCCATCGACATTGTGTAAAATAAACGCAGCCAATCCACTTGGATTTATATCATAATTAAAGTTTTAAGACTACGAACTATATAACCAAGCCTGCAGCAATGGTTCTAAAAACGTTTTTGTTTTCTTAGTACAACGATACTCAGTCCCGGGCTCAAACCAATCACTTCATTACAAGAATGAATCATGAAATATTGAATTCCAGCATGCACTACAAAACACACTCCTCTATCATAATTGTCCCCTACAGTTCCCATATATCTCGGGATCATTATCCATCAAGGAAATTAATAAAAATAGGTACGCATTGCGTACATGCGGGGAGCCTACTAACTGGCTATACAATGAAATAGATTTATAAAACTGTAGTTGAAATAATACTATATATTTTTTACACAAAACTTGCTTAAAATTCAAAAATTTGTTTTGTGCTCACTGTTTAATGAAAGGACGCAGTATTTGTCAAACTGTTAATGCATTTACCTAACGCCCTTAATTAAATTGTATGTCGCGTGACTGTGTTTTGATTGTAAAAAGTGGAGTCCTTACGATTTCTCACAAATTTTATGGCGATAAAATACATTACAATTTATATTGAAATTATTTTTTGCCTTAAAAACATATCGTCATTAATTTCTGTTATAAAACAGTTATCTCGGACTTGCATATGTTGTTCGCTGAACGATAAATCAACACATCTTTTGACTCGTATTATTTTATATATACGAGATTTGTTTCGCAATATTTCCGACAACTCAGTGCAAATAGTGTTTGATTTTTCCCACGTTACAAGTGATCGCAAAATACTTTCTTATGATGTTCAAACGTGAACAGACAATTCACACATTAAAAATATTTCATCGTATTCAATGCACAAAGAACCATATGTACCAAGCGCGTTGATTAAATTTCTTTGACCTTACGCGGTACAAATTTAAATGTAGTAAAATTTCGATCACAAAGCACATATGAGCCAATGACCAAATTATATAGCAAGCTAATTACTTAAATGATAAATTTGCTTTTTAAAATTGCTCTTTAACACGCAAAACTTAGCTTTGCCTCGCGGAAGATTCTTTGTGGAATCAATCGAGGGAACAAATGAAATGACAAACGAGAATTTGAAAACAAAACCGCGAGCAAACCAGTCAGTGGTTAGCTGTCTGGAATATTTTCCGAAGAAAGCGACGAAAAAAGGCATTCTTCGTCCTCGTTAGTACATCTGACTATCACCGAGGATTACGACAGACAGAAATAACAGACAGAATGACAGACTGACGGACTCTTTTAATACAGCATGGTGGTTAGTCGTGCACGCACAACCGCTAGCCACAAAAAGTACGGTAAAATTTATAAACAGCATCAACAGATATATAGTGCGGAATGAAATAAAAAGAAATGTCATAAACAAACATGTTTAACATCACACTTTCATTTAGCGTCATTGAGACGACTTGACACAGGAGGAACATTATGATGTCTAAAAGATGGGAATGTGTCCCGTACAACTGAAATGAAAGAAAAACAAAAATTATATCAAACCAAGTCATTTACGCATACTTAAAGTATTGAAATCGATTGCAGCAAATACTGTATCATCGTTTTTCACAAGACAGGCAAAGAAATATAAGAAAGTGTGATAAAGGCAGATAAAGTGCTACAATGTGAGGCTCTGTCCAATGACAGTACTTTCTATTCTTACGGAAACGCCAACGAATGAAAAATACTCACATCCTCCTGTAGCCCAGGAATATTTTGATGCAAATGGTGAGTGTTTTATCAGTTCAGGAGATTGATAGTTGATTGCATCCACTGTAAAGATGAATAGAAATGTAATCGTATTTCTAACGTGGATCAAGTCATGTAGCCATTGTAGACAAATACTGGAAGAAGAAATCAGGTGATTGCAAAGGGTAAAATATGAGTACAGCATGAGTTAGGTATGCGTAAAGTATGTTTATACTGGTTTCATGGTTTCATGTGATGTTGAAAGGGGGTATTTTTAACGCCAAGTTAACTTCATAATTTTCATGTTCAATAAAAAACTAAATCCACGTAAATATTTTAGTTCATATGGGTTTTTATGAACATACACGAAGGTACAGTTTTAAACACTTTATTGTTAGACTTGCCTCCATATCTCATTTTAGCAGGTATTTCTGATATCTCCAGCTGATAAACAGTTTTATATCCTTCATTAAGAGCCCCAGTTGATTGTCTAAGTTTCGGCCGAGGTGGAATATTTTCGCGAATAAACGGTGGTGGTTCCATTCCCAAATCAGCACTCCATACCTTGTAAGTCTTAAGCTATGGCACAACAAGATATTGAAGGCGTGTGCAAAAACAAATAACACTGCATTAAATGTTAACATTTACAGAGTCGGTATTCATATGATTTTTTAGTGTTAAATAAGACTACACTGTTTATAAACAGTCTAACTAGCTATTAGATGTCAAATTGTTACAGGGCAGATTGTGCTGACATTAAAAGTTTCATTTGAAATCACAAAAACGTTGTTACAACCTACCTTTCAAATCCGTTTGCTTGTAAAAATGTATAGTTAGTATAGTATATATAACGTACGGTCTTGTTATTATATGTATACAATGGTTACCTTGGAAACCATCGCTTTGACTGTATAGCATACATGACCTTCACAGTAAATGTTAAATGGCAGCAGTTTAAAGAAGTTTTTGACTTTTTATTACTTCATTTTGACTGTGATTTCTCACAAACCAATTTTTTCCTTTGAATGTTTAATTTCGGCGTTAGGAATGTTTAAGTTCGACAATATTATAAATTTTCTCTAAACGTGTGAGCAAGATAGACAGCTATGGCGACTAATGACTCAGCAGAATGTGCTTCATGTTGATAATGTAATTATACTTAGGTAATATAGTGATACTATACTTACGAAAATTACAAGCATATATATGTAAATTTGCATTGTTCTCGTTTTAGCATCACGTCACCTCCCCCCTCCCCCCGCCCTCCTTGCATCAAATCAGCGACGTTTTTTATGTGAAGGGCAAGTTGTTCATAAAACATTGTCATCAAAACTCTTCGCGTTAAACATAAAAAGCCTGTTTCTCACCCTGTCTCCTGAAGGAAAAGGAAATTTGATCCTTGGATGAGGATTATTTCGGTAAAACAGCTTTTTTGTTATTAATTTGTCTTTTTCCGTTCTATTTTCTCTCATTGGGAAACGCAGTTCGTTATTCTTCTCCCTACATATGAAGACGTAGTGAAGTACATGAAAAATTTGAAGCAAATCAATTTATTTATAACTCTGCATTGATTTAAATTTCTTTTGTTACATGTCATTTTTTCAACTCGAATTCAATGATAAATTTTCTTACTTTGTCATTGTTAATGAACTTGAAATGTCCTTTGAATGAGGCTTTGAAATGACCTTTCCGATGACCGAGCCTAGTCCATCTTCAATAAGACGAGCATTCCTGACTATAAAGAAAAGATATTCCTACATGTTCAGAAACTGCTCAAGGCTTCACAGAAATCGATATTTTAAGCATATGTACCTGCAATTTTCCACCCTTCATGATCTGATCGAATAAAGCGGGAAAATTCGTCTGTCATTTTTGACATTATGATTCAGTTTGAAGTAGTTAAAATATATGTGAATTTTGCCAACAAACTTCTTTTTACGACTTTATAAAGAGCTCTGTCTGACATTCACAAAATATGTCAGACAAAGACATAAAATCGGATTTTCTTACACAAGCACAACAAAGCTGCTCGTCTGATAAAATTTACAGATGGATTTACTCTTTATTATAAATACTAATCTGGGTTTTAATATAAAAATGAAATTTACAAGAAGCCTACTTTTAATGACTCATCCGATATTCCGTAATAAATTGGCCTACCCAGAACCCCCCGTTTTTCTATCAACAATATCTAAAGTTTAATTTGCAACGTATTTCAACAAAATCAATTTGCTTGCAATTAATAGAATTAAAGCCATTTTCAAATGTTTGAGTGACTTTATAATGAGCCAATACTTGACCAACTTTACCATTCCAAACCATTTTTTGAAGACGGAGACCCAGAATATTCCAGGAGTTGGGCTTGATAAAAAAACATTTGTCGTTTTTCCATCACATCCATGAGCCATACAAGAATTTCAAAATAGTTATATAGACGTATTATATGCATGTCAATGCCTGTGTCGAATTTCGCAATTTATATTAAAGTGATGTGATGCTGGCTGTCAACATAAGTCTCAAATGAACACCCAAACATCCATTATCTTGCGCCAACTCAATCTGGTGGACAAATGCGTGAAAGTCGTTAAGACAAAGGGCTTGATGTATTTAATATCTGATTTTTTAGGATTTGCTTTATTGCGTTCTTATGCTTCTTGATACGACGTATTTCAATGGTAAAAAAGTAAGTGAATTATTCCTTTTTAACAGACGGATGATTATTGCAATCATTGTATGAATTGTTTTATAATGTACAACTGATTTTCTCTCGTTATTTACAATTAAAAAATCAGCATCTGTTGTGCTAAACGCTGTATGAACCAAATCAATCTTCCTCGTGCTAATTGTCTGGACAATTACCAGTATAAGAAGACAAGAATCATATCACAGTAAAGCTTCACCCGATCACTGTTACAAAATTATTTACTTGAAATTTCATCACAGGAGCTTAGTGAAAGTTTAAAGGTACATATTCCGACATGTTGCTATCTCTGCATTTATTTGTATTAAAAGGTATTTACACACTGGACAGCATCAACGTTATCTCCATTCCATTTTGTGACCGATAAAATATCCGTTAGTAATACTTATAGTTTACAACTTTATGAAAAAACATCCAAACTTGAAACTGCAGTCCAAATTTTCATGTTAAAAATGTCTTTCATTATGAGAAATATCAGACTTATTTTGAAAACATGGCGTTGCTTATAGTGCTTTTCACTATTCGGCTTTGATCGGCTTAAAAGTCAATTGAATGCAGTATTCAACAATATCAAAATTTTACAATTTGAAGCAAAGACAATCATTTTTGAACGCGCTCATTATCCAATGGACATCGCTATACCGGAGCCTGATACATGCGTCACCGGACATCGCTATACCGGAGCCTGATACATGCGTCACCGGAGGTGGAGCCTGATACATGCAACTTTAACCAGCAATTAATTTTTACGCAATTCAGAAAATATCATTTGCGATGCAGAAATTTCCCCCAGATAAGCTATTTTATTATTTGTCTGACAACATTTAATAAAACGTACGCCTTACTCACCTATTTTATAAAATTTCATCATATTTTCATGTTTCTATCTGTGAGTTGTCCCAATTGAGCATCGAATGAGACCATGGATTCAGTAAAGCCTGAAACATCAAAGAATCGTCTTTCGTTAGATGAACACGTAAAAACATTAGCCGATTTGTAGTAACTTTGAGTAATTGGTTTCCTTGTGCTTCTTCATTGTCTTTCAGAGATTGCAGTACGTCCCCTGCTGATCAGCTGATGTACATTTGATTTTAAAACTATCTAAATTCTAAACTCTTTTTCAACGTTTACTCCACTTAAATATAAAATAAAATAATAAATGCTGTTGGAAATAAAGTATTTGAAACGATCCACGCACGTTACAATTACAGGACGGTGTATTCTTGGTCAGTTATAACTTGTACAAATAGCACAAGTCAAATTTGAAAAACAACGGATGAAGTAATGTTGAAAGTTTGTTCTTTGATTATCTGTTAAAGTTAGCAGTATTGTTTCAGGTTACCAGCGTTATGTGTACCCACTGATATATATCCTCGTTAGTTATGGTAAGTTGATCCATTTTACATGAATTAATAAAAAGTAAAGAGTTCTTTTATGTGTAATGCCAGTAAATATATAGTAACAAAACTCATACGGGCTGCTTTCTAACAGTATGGTTTCATTCACTGCTGTTTGGCTGATATGGTGATCAGTGGTTTTGGAGAAGAAAAATGGATGGAAATTTTGTAAGTTTATAAAACTTTATCATATCTCAAATTAATATAGTCAATTGTAATTTAACGTGATCTTAATAAATTAATTGATCAAGTTTTTCTCATTTAATTTTAGAAAACAGGCCGAAATTAAATTAGAAGGTGGCTCATATCTCATTCACAAAATTTATACAGATGCTGAAACTTTCAAGCTGGTGGGAACAGCATGTGACGTGTTAGGTATGGACATTTGTATATTTGTTTACAACCACATATTCGGCGTCAGGTCAACGGACAATATGATAGTCTTCTACTTCAAGGTTTCCGTCTCATTCTTGCTTAGTTATATATATGATGTATGAAATCACTGTGCTAATATAGTACGTTACTGTCAAATCAACGTTCAGCCTATTTTTATTTTTTAATGTGTGCAGTACGCCAGAGGTCTTTACGCCATTTTTGAACTGCTCATAGGAACAGCCAATTTATTATTTGCTTAGTTTGTCGCACAACCTATATAAGTGTTCTGTTGTACGGGATGCTGGAACGCGATTGAGGACACAATGGGACTGTATTTTATTTTTGATGTATTTTGTCAACATTAGTTACATTACGATATCGCGTCTTTTGACGACAAACGCTGGTTCGTTAACACTTGATTTAATATGAACAAATTGTTTTAATCTTCCAACTTAGATATTTTCTGTTTGCCTAAAAGGTACAACTCAGCCAACGATTGCGTGAATCAAATGCGTATCGAAACAACGTTTGACTGCATGTATATATATTGAATATATGTTATATGGGACAAAGTTTCCTCTTTCCCACCATTGTCTTCCTCAAGTCTTCCTCAACAACTTTTAAACTTCCCATGCCAAGTGCATGTGATTAAATAATTCCCATTTTAAGTCATTCTTACGTCTTTATGACGCGTTCATGTTTACAGTAAGAGAAATTTACTTCCCTTGTTTTTGTGATTCAGCATTTTATTCTCATATACGATACGTTTTACATCCCCTATTCCATTTTTGACATCAGACAAACACATTTTACGTACAAACATCACATTTTGCAACAGAGTTATAAATAAATACATACTATAAACGAAATGAAGAATTAAATTCTAAAGCTGTTTTTTATGATAGAGTTTTTTATGAAATAATTTGATATATTTGAATAAAACAGTAAACATCAGCTTTCTTTAATCACAAGATATAATGGATTGCTATAATTATACACTGTTGTGCGTTGTACCGAGTAAACTAGGCGTGGTTAAAAATATTTGTAAAAAAACAAGCTGATAACTTCTTACACACAGAACTCTGGATCTTTCTTATCTAGCTACCAAACGTTTTGTTCAATGTACACCAAAGTCAATAACAAACATTTATTTTAAGGTTTGGATGTAAATACTGCGTTGGAAAGCTTTGGAGCACATTTTTTTCATTTCACCGTTCAATCAGGTTACGATCGAATTCTTCGAGTTCTTGGTAGAAATCTTTACGATTTTCTTTGCAATCTGGACGCTCTTCACGATCATTTGGCGAACATTTATCCTGGAATGGAAGCGCCATCGTTCCGTTGCACCAAGTCAAATGATGGCACATTATTTTTGCACTACTATTCTAAACGTTCAGGACTTGAATCGATTGTCGTTGGTCTGGTAAAGACTATTTGCATCGAAGTTCTTCACATAACGGTAACTGTAAAGATACTGTCAAGTAAGGGAGAAATGGATAATGATCATACAATTTTTGCCATTTATGAAGACAAAAAAGCAAATTTAGCTTCTTCTCTAGTTCATTTAAACAGCACAAATATTGACAATGCAATTGATGTGAATGCAAATTGTATGAGAAATGATATAAATAGTAATCCTATGAATGTTAGCTCATTCTGTAAAGCGTTCCCATTTCATGTTCTATTTGACCAAAACCTTACTATCGTGCAAGCTGGTGTGGCCATATTGAGAGTGTTGAACGAAGCATATGCAACTCCTGGCAAGATCAAACTTTACGATGTTTTCAAATTACAAAGACCAAAATTGAACATTGACTTTGCACTAATCTTAGCTCACATTAATACAGTTTTTGTGGTTGAAACTAAGGATGGTACTATTCCCGGTGGAGCATGTAATCCAAAAATTCGTCTTAAAGGACAAATGGTTCATATACCCGAGTCTAATACTTTACTTTTCTTATGCTCCCCGAGGGTAAGTGATCTTGTTTCACTAAGAACGAAAGGTTTGTATCTTAGTGATCTCCCTCTACACGATGCCACTCGTGATCTTATCTTTATGACTCATACACGAACTGCTGAAAGAGAACTTGTAGAGCAACTGGAAGAAACGACTAACAACTTAAAGAAAATGGAAGCCTGCCTTATTGATGATAAGAAAAAAACGGATGACTTACTTCATTCTATATTACCAGCAAATGTCGCTGAAAAACTTCGAGTTAATCAAACTGTCGAAGCTGAAAATTATAAGTTGGTCACAATACTTTTTAGTGATATTGTTGGCTTCACTGCACTTTGTTCCAACGATAAAGTGGTTCCTATGGATATTGTGCGCATGCTCAATAAGTTATACACGTATTTTGACATGCTGAGTGGAGTAAATGAAGTTTATAAGGTAAATAACACAGGTCTCGTACGTTGAGTGCCGCATTTATAATGAATTTTATGTTTAATATATTGCTTTAAAGAAGATGTGACATTTCCCGTATGTATCACTTTTCATAAATTACATTTAATAAAAGATTCGCCAGTAATAAAATAAAGTTTTAATAAATCTACGCATTAAAAGATGAAAGTTTTTGGAACTTCTTATTTGTAGTTTGAAATTATCATGACTTCTGTATGGTATATGATTCATAGTACAGAATGAGAAAGTATTTAGATATTAAAGCCACACGTTTAAACTAAAACAAACACAATCATTTCAGGTTGAAACTATTGGAGATGCATACATGGTTGTTGGAGGTCTACCTACACCTTGTTTAGATCATGCTGAGAGAGTGTTGAACATGGCATTTGGCATGATGGAGGCGTCTATCAAAGTCTTATCACCGGCAGATAAGATGCCCCTGAAGGTATGAACAGTAAAGAAATCTTATTGTGCATAAACAATTCAGTCTTCATCGTTCATCAATCAAAGTCTTCTCGCTGCCTCATATAAATACCAACTTTTTACCAGAATACGCTTGAAGTCTACAAAAATTAAATGTAGAACCATGTTACATTTTATGATTATTTTAAAAGCTTCTCCCTTAAGATACGAATCGGGATACATTCAGGTCCCGTAATGGCGGGCGTTGTTGGCAAAAAGATGCCAAGATATTGTTTATTTGGAAATACTGTTGGAATTGCAAACAAAGCAGAGTCTGGAAGTGAACCAGGACACATAAATGTCAGCATTGTAACCAGAAAGTATGTACTTCCATTGAATTTGATAATTTATATACTAGTCAGTGTTTCTAGTAAGTGCAATCACGTCATTAGAAACGATATTTTTCTTCTCAGATACCTAAAAGAGTCAGATTATAAATTCGAGCCTAATCCTAACCCAAACCCTGTGACATGTTTTTTTGTTACACGAAGTCCAGCATCACCTCGAAAACCATCCATTTTGGACTTTATGTCTTCGATACCTCCACATAGTTACGGTGGATTGTTTCTCTCTCCTGTTTCCTCACCGTGCAGTGGTACACCTCTTAAGCAATCACCAAATACTAGTCCTTCAGCAACTCCACCCAGACCACGAGCGAAGAAAATAATTCAGATGTGTGCAAGCGTGAACGACTTTGAATGATTCTAGACTTTTAATATGGGCTGGATATCCTCAAAAACAATAATAAATAATGTTTAAAATGTGTAAATTACAAAAATTTTGGTAAAAGAACGACAAATTATATAATACTTCTCGTATTTCCAAAGCTAAGATTCTATCTATAGCTATAGCAAGGATGTAATATATTTCCTTATTATACATCATTTTTATTTTAACAGTAAGACTTATAGTATTTTTAATTGCTCAGAAGCAACAATAACTTTTTAATGCTGAGTGCTGAATAGCATTGCTTATTTTTCATTAAAATTAATAAACGTCAGCCAGTGGAAGAGCATTGGAGCCAGCGATTAAAGATTGGATGAAAAACTGAAGATTATATTATCATCAAAGTACGATGTATTGTCTAGTTATAAATGAATGAATGACAAATATATTGCCTGAAATTTTAATGACAATGGCTCATTCATATTGCAGTCTTATTTATTTTGTCTTCATAAATCAGTAGCAACACAAAATGGTTTTCATAAGCAAATATTTAATCTTTGTTTTAATGAGATGCCCTCAAACTTTGCCAAAGAAAAGCAAATTTTAGTTGAGTTTAAGAGCTTCTGTTATTGATGATGCTATACTAATTTCGGCCTTTGGTAATCTTGTGGGCATAGATCCTGGCTTAAATCACAATAAGACATTCAATTACTTATGGGATTTCTTGTGAAATGTATCAATACTTGCAGGTGTTCTAAAACAAAAATTCTACTTTAACGTAGATAAACATTTTGGATATTACAATGAGGCGATTAGGCGATTGCAGTATCGCACTCTTTTTGTAGAATAATTTTACATGCAGGATTAGTTTTAGGTTATAAAAATTTACAAATATTGACAACGCCCGGAAGTGGGAATGACTTTGCTTGAAACTCGTTTGCCTTGTCCATCCAATTGAATTTGCACTCATTATATACACGGTTAATATGCTTTAATTTTATAGTGGGAAAATGTTGTGATGAGCGGCTGTAGTTGTACATAAATTTCATTTCATGAAATACATCGTTGACTCATTAACAGCGTGAACTTTGACAGATAGACAGAGCAAGATTTTTGTAAAAATAGCATAAGCAACATGGTAAGAAGACTGGATGAAAAGTAAAGACAGTATTGTTAGCTTCATATCGGGCCGCGTATGTAGTTGTATATTTGAAATCGTTTTTTCATCTCGTTATTTAGCTTGCTTACATTCACAAGATACTTTATAAACTCATTGTGAAGACATACGGTGATGAAAAATGGAATGAAATAAGGTACAACAGAGTAAAGCCGTTCAAATATTCATTGCACATGTATTACTTCACAACAATAATCCATAAACAGACAAGTTTGCATATTGTCTTCCATATTTTAATTATTTGTTGCTAAATTATTTCATCATTTTACATAACAACTATATCTCTACATAACAACTATATCTCTACAGGAAAGAGGGAGGAATTCCAAGTGATCACACAGACACAATTTGCAACGCAGATAACGAGGGCAAAGTATATGATGATGAAATGATTTGGAAAATCGTCCAAACAGCATCGACGATATTAGGTATGATAAGATTTTACCAGAATACAGGCCATTGTTCAAATGTTTTTTAGTCATCTACAAAACCTTTTCAAACATTAGGCGTATGGCAATTAACAGCATATTTTTCTCGACAACTGTATATGCATCTCATTAAATTCGGTGTGGATCACCATTTTTAAAATTCTTTTCTTTATGACACGAAAGGTGTAAAACAAAACCATTGAACAGTATATAGAGCACTGTAGAAACACTCAACAACGCTGCAATCTTTAAAAGAGATGTTTCGCGGTAAATTTTTCTTCCGGGTATAAGGGGACATAAACTACTAGAAGATTTATCTCATTGCATACAGTGTTTGTATGATATTAAAAGCAATGAATGCATATATAAGCATGTATTTACAAACATTCAAATAAATTTGATGTAAACGGAACTGTACACTACCACACATAATACTTGTTACATAAACAGTACTTTACTAAAAACGATATCCTTGATGGTACAGTATATAAGAAGAAAAAACAGTTGTAAGATGAAAATAATTTTGTAATTACAAAAGCAATTAGCGATGTAGTACATATTGTAATGAATCGATGTCAAGGTCATAATTCTGTATCGCTGTAAAACCGTTTCTAATTCCAAGCCTAAATATATTTCCATAAAATTCGTGCGATGTATGTACACTATAACCCTGCACATAGCTTTTCCTCCAGCTGCCATTCAGAGTTATGCATAAAAATTAGGTAAAAATATAGTCATAGAAAGCACTAATCAATTTTCGTATGTTACGATTATGCATAAGTTTTCTGTTTTATTGAATGCATGATGCCTCGTGCCCCTGATCCATGGCCCAGCTTATTTTTGGTTAAGTATAGTTATATCAATCGTGTAATTAAAGCCTGTTCTATATGGTCTTGAACGTGTTGCAAGTATAGCGATGTCTCTAGGACATTTCCAAAACTGTTGCAGCACGTTTATGAGTAACGACCAAATGAAACCAAGTATAAGGCTCGTTATCAGTTGGAAGCTCAAGAAATAAAGATGATAGGATCTGCTACAGTTAATGTCTTCGGTCATCCACGGTCTATCATTGAAAATTTAGTAAACTATTTATCATTATTAAATACAAATAGGAATGCATGAAAAAGTTAGCACTCCAGTCAAATAACAACAGTCAACACAAACTGACACACAAAATGTGCTGTTTAAAGTCTCATTTCTTACGTTATGCAACTAAGTATTATGCAAGTATTTTGCAATAATCATAGCAGCTAAAGTACGTGAAATTTAAAGAAACTGCTATCGTATTGTTTTTTTCACGTATTGCTCAAGGGAATAGTGAATAAGGAGTAGGCACTCTTCATTTCTTTCGGCTATAACAATTAAAACCTAATGATATTGTTTTGTTCATATACCAACATGGCGGACATGACAACCATCAATATATAAAGAACAGTGGGAAAATATTCATGTTGAAAACCTGGAATATATAAAACATAGTTGCGGCCAGGTGTATACAAGAAATTCATAAAAAATCATGAATGTGACAACGAGTGGGAGATAATTACAAAATTAATGAACGAAACAATCGGCATAAGTCAAGGTGTTTGCATGACTTTGCTGTTGTAAAAGCAATCACTCGTGTGTTGCCAAAGACTTATTTATAGTTCACGTATCTATATATATATATATATAGTTCATATCGTATCATATATATATATATATATATATATATATATATATATATATATAAAATTTCTCATCAATATTACGCTCTGCTCTTAAGCATCGAGCACTGTACTTACGGAGACTCAAATAAACAAAACTTCCTATATATATATATATATATATACAAAGTGTATATACAATGTGCCCTCCTGGCTATCACCATATTAAAATGGTGACTCCCGCACTTGGGACACAGGACGTACGGTTATATATATATATATAGTTGCCTGAAGATCGCCCTATGGCGTGAAACTCCGAGTAGCGACAGCAAAAACTTGTCGATTTTATTTCATTATATATATATATACTTCAAAGGTATAGTTTGCATACAGTGTGTATATAAAAAGGGAAACTGTAGAAATTAGACAATTGTTAGAATTTCAATTCAAGATCATTATGTTAATCCAACTGGTACATTTTAATACATTATTGTAGATTCCTTGGAGGCTGGAACAGAGATTAAAAGCTTTTGTTGCTGTGTTTGTTAAATGTGATTCGTTCATTCGTAGTCACATGACTTAAATAAATGCTATTTAACCCGCCAAGGAAACAAGTGAAAATTTGATCGCTCATTTTAATACACAACAAATAAAACAACTATGGAGCCAAAAACAAAAAATTTTTTCGAGCGTACTAAGCGACGAAATTTTAACTAGTAATAGAAAATAACGGTTTACAGAACACTCGAAAGTCGACCAGAAAAGCTGTGTTCTCTCTTATGCCAACAAAATTTCAATATATACGCTCTCTCAGAAAATAACGAGTTTTGTTTTCCCTCGAGTCGCGTGCAATGTTGAGAATCTCGGAAAACATTTGTAGAACCAATATTTCCCTCAAGAGCATATTGAACGCGTTTGTAAGATATATAGCTAAAAATAAATGCATGTAATATATTACGCACCATGAGCTTACCATAGCGAAGGGGTATTGAAATTATGTGAAGAGTTTAGTTTCTACAGGTTTCTCTTTTTTGCTACAGCGTATATTGCACACATGATCGTCTGAGTAAAGAATTAAAGTTATATTTCCTTAACTTATGTAAAAGTTTTTTAATGGTTTACGACAAGAAATTTGAGAACGCTATAACTCTCTTTTACAAACATCAAAGTAAACACAGACCGAGAGGTCTCTCTTATTTAAACTGATCAAGTTAAACGTCCCTCTTAAAATAAAACTGCTTTTTAGAAGAGTAGCTCATACGATGATTACAATATTTTTGCTGAACAATACATAATAATGAAAATATACTTCAAACATCAAACAAGACCGTTAATTATCGTCGCAATTAAGATTTGTGTCATAGCAGCTATATGCTACAATAATTGTATATCAATATCATTTGAAATCACCAATTTTGCCTTGTAAACAAACGATCATTATGATGTGTTGCAAAAAAAATTAGCACAACGCTTATCCAGCAACTATAAACAATAACGACCTTATCGAACAAAATTCAAATGTTAGCCTTCCACTTCTCTTCTTTGTAAACGAACATGCATTTTGATTACGCTATTTCTTACACATAAGCTATTAGCTAAACTTATATTCATAATGGCAATCAAATTATCAATGTTTGTTTTCTTAGTTATCTTTACATTCTCAAAAGGATGATAATTTTTTTAAAAGATTTTCATGCTCAAAATCGTCAGTTACGGTTTCTTTATTTGTACTAGATCAACTTGCGCTTTCCATCTTGTGAAATGATAAACCACTTAATCTTTACTCTATAAAACTCAGAAGACTCAGGCGTACTACTCATACCACCAAAATTTGCTGTTATTCCTTACATTACAATACAATGTTTTTTAGAAACGTCAGTGGATGATCTTTTGGATGCGTTCGGAGTAATGTTTGTTAATGTTTGTTTCAAAGATCATCATAAAATGTTGACTTCGCTTGGAGATTCACTGTACAGCTTCCTGAATAACTTGGATCATATGCATCAAGTATTTAAAGATGCGAAGAAATTTGATGGTATGAAGGCACCGTCATTCACATGTGAAGCAAAAGATAGCCGAACATTAATAGTTCATTACCACTCCGTACGAAGAAACTTGGATAAATTTGTTTGTGGAGCTTTGCGACAATGTGCCAAAGTAATATGTAATGCCACTGTAGTTGTCACCGTATTGAAGGAATTTGATCCAATAACCAGATGTGTGTCATTCAAGATAGAAAGTTTGGACTTGTCTTTGACAGGAAACACAATGAACAAACGAAATCTATCAAAAAACGCCAAAGATCTTTCTCTTGGAATGAGAAGATTCTGTAAAGCAATACCATTTCATATTATTTTTGATAAAAACTTTGAGATTATTCAAATGGGAAGTGCTCTCGTGCGGTTCTTAACTGGGACATTTTTGAATAGTAACAGATATTTGAACGACTACTTCACGTTAATTAGGCCAGAGATAGAATGGAGTTTTCGTTCTATTAAAACACATTGCAATTTATCATTTCTTCTTCATTTGAATAGCTTTATTTCAGAAGAAATTAAGCGTGCAATAAATCTCACTGGGCAAATGATTTATATGCCAGAGTCGGATTGCATTCTTTATATTGGATCACCTGTCGTTGAAAACCTTGATGACTTAAGACGACAAGGATTATATATTAGTGATATTCCAATTCATGATGCAACTAGGGATCTTATTTTGGTTAGTGAGCAATCAAAAGCGCAGGGTGGACTAAAGAAACGACTCCAATCTCTTAAAGCAAAAGTGCAAGAAACGTCTGCTGAACTTGAACACGAGAAAAAGAAAACAGAGGACTTGTTGGAGGCAATATTTCCAAAAGAGATAGCAAAACAGTTAATTCATAAAAAGCCAGTTAATGCACAAACTATAGAAAGTGTGACAATGTTGTTCAGTGACCTTGTCGGTTTTACTGCAATTTGTGGAAAGTGTGCTCCAATGGACGTTGTTAATATGTTGAGTGAACTCTACACAAACTTTGACACAAAATGCACCGAACTTGAACTGTACAAGGTAACCCATATTATACTTACGTTTTAGTAACGTTATTAAACCAAAGCAAATTCATAGAATGACTAGGCACAAATAAATTTCATAACAAGAATTCATGATCCGTGTTTTAGTGCTTAATGATATTTTTTATTTCCCAGGTTGAAACTATTGGTGATGCATATGTTGTAGCTGGAGGATTGGACACCAGTATGAAGGACCATCCTTATAGAATAGCATTAATGGCATTATCAATGATGGATTCAGCTGCTGGAGTACTCTCTCCTGAAAAGGTGCCTCTACGCATGCGTATTGGTATTCACACTGGTTCAGTTGTCGCAGGAGTTGTTGGTTTAAAAATGCCCAGATACTGTTTGTTTGGTAACAACGTCACATTAGCCAATAAAATGGAGTCAAGAAGTGAAGAGGGGAAAATAAACATCAGCCCTGAAACACATAAGTATGTAATTATTTTCCAATCAATGATCTCATCTGTTGTGCTTTTACGTTTGAAGCAATAAATTTATTCTGTAAGAAATGACGTGATACCTCCTAAAATATGACGAATCAATATTTTTGTTGTAAATTAAAGGTTTCTTGAAAATAGTTTAAGTTACAAGCATATGATTTCATTTTTTCTTTTAAAGACATTTGAAGACATGCCAAGAGTTTTTATTTGAAACTCGTGAACAAAACGCGCTACCAGAAGCTTATCCGAAAAAAGATGACGAAACCTGCTATTTTCTTTTAAAGAAATCTACCACTAAATGCAAAAGAAAACTGATGGTCACGATAAAAGTTGAAGAAACAACAGAAATTTGATAGCGTCCACAAAGAAAAGATAGTTAACATAGATAAGGAGAAATAACTATATTTTTAAACCCCATTATGAAGATTATTAACCTACAAGGTATCGGCAATATGATATGACTTATCGTTAATTATATTGGTCAAAGCTATCAGTGTAAATAATGGTGGCTTCTATAGAACATGTTGAATACATTGTGGTGTTAATTGACAAAGCTTTAAACCCAGTGAGTATGGTGTTTGAGTAGTAGAAATTAGCGTCATTAGATAATACAACATAATATTTAGTGGGAAAAAACATAATTTATTGGCCATAATTAAACACAGAGATGTTATATAGTATTAAATAACACACATATATGCTCATTTCATGGAAAAATAGATCAATTCATAAATTCATGACGTCGTTTTATTTGGATCTCTATGTCATAATTTTGGTAGTGAAAAATTGGATCTCTGTGTCATAATGTTGGTAGTGAAAAAATGGATATCTATGTCATAATATTGGCAGTAAAAAATGATAGTGTATTAGTAAGAATCAACACGTTCTTAATATAAGCAAATATAAATAGTTGTAAAATGTGTCTGAGTAGCTAAAATTAACACAGTTTAAAATCGATTGTTGAAGAGATAAAGTCCTCCTTTTAAAGAGTCGTCACTGCAAGAGTCGTTTATATAAGTTCGTAAGAATCATAAACCCAAAAAATTGTCATCGCATAAAATACGTCATTTCACTTTAGTCGTCATTTCTAAAAGTTATCATTTTGAAAAAGCTCTCGTTCTCACGCAATTCCTTGTTTTACAACTTTTCTGCAAGCTTATTTGTCGCTGCAAAAGAAACACTTTAAAAATTTTAAAAATTCAGAAAACTGACCAACGATAATGATGTGAAATTATAGAATGGCCTATCTGAATTTTGGAAATCTGGAGAGATGGTCATTATGTTTTAACTCCATTGGATTATTTTCAAACTTTACTATAACAAGTTGTTTTATATGCTGTACATATGCACGACAGATCAAAAAAGTATACTTTTGTTGGAAAAATTTCTCTACTGCATAAAATACTTGAAATAAGCAAATTGTTCTCAAAAATTTTTTTTGAGAACAAACACAAAACAGGCTCTGACTGGCAAAAAATACTCGCATTGTCAAAAATTTTAATGTCAGAGAACGTTAAAGTATTTAGAAAAAGTTTTTGCTTATTGCAAAGCCATCTTACTTAAGAGAACTTAAGTGTAATATTTTTGATAAATGTAGCATTTTGTTGCAAATGTAGCATAGTTTCCTGATAAATGTATTTATTATTTAGAGGAATATGCAAGAATGTATGTAGTATAGTTTGAGTTATATCCTTTCCATTATATAATGTATGTATATGCAAGTAAATTGCAAGAAATGTTTTCCATTGAAAAATATAATATACACACTTTTTTCACATGTTATAAAAGACTATAATTCACGCATTTTTAGACAATTTCAAGAAAAAACATAATTTTCTCATTTTTTATATTTTCACCAATGGACTACAATTCATGCATTTTTACATATTTTCATGCCAAAAGTATATAATTAACATTTTTCTAAATTTTCACTAAAAGACTATAATTCACATATTTTACATATTTTCATGCAAAAAACGATAATTTTCAATATAAGAATATAACTCACATATTTTATACACTATCACGAAAAAAATATAAATTTAACATTTGGTCATAATTGCACAAAAATACTACAATTCATTCATTATTACATAATTTCATGTAGAAAATATGATATTTAAATTTTTTCATATAGCTTTTGGCATATAGTATATAACA